GTGTAGAGTGTGGAGTGTGGAGTGTGGAGTGTAGAGTGTGAAGTGTAGAGTGTAAAGTGTAGTGTGTAAAGTGTAGAGTGTAAAGTGTAGTGTGTAAAGTGTAGAGTGTGGAGTGTGGAGTGTAGAGTGTGGAGTGTAAAGTGTGGAGTGAGGGGTGCGCAGTGTAAAATGTCAGGTGTGGAGTGTAGAGTGTAGAGTGTGGGAGTGTAGAGTGTAAAGTGTAGAGTGTAAAGTGTAAAGTGTGGAGTGTGAAGTGTAAATTGTAAAGTGTAAAGTATGGAGTGGAGAGTGAAGAGTGTAGAGTGTAAAGTGTAAAGTGTAGAGTGTAAAGTGTAAAGTATGGAGTGTAGAGTGAAGAATGTCGAGTGTAAAATGTAGTGTGTCAAGTGTAGAGTGTGGAGTGTGGAGTGTGGAGTGTAGAGTGTGAAGTGTAGAGTGTAAAGTGTAGTGTGTAAAGTGTAGAGTGTAAAGTGTAGTGTGTAAAGTGTAGAGTGTGGAGTGTGGAGTGTAGAGTGTGGAGTGTAAAGTGTGGAGTGAGGGGTGCGCAGTGTAAAATGTCAGGTGTGGAGTGTAGAGTGTAGAGCGTGGAGTGTAGAGTGTAAAGTGTAGAGTGTGGAGCGTAAAGTGTGGAGTGAGAAGTGTACAATGTAAAGTGTAAAGTTCGGAGTGTAGAGTGTAGACTGTAAAGTGTAGAGTGTAAAGTGTAGAGTGTAAAGTGTAAAGTGTGGAGTGAGAAGTGTACAGTGTAAACTGTAAAGTGTGGAGTGGAGAATGAAGAGTGTAGAGTGTAAAGTGTGTTTGTAAAGTGTAGAGCGTGGAGTGTGGAGTGTAAAGTGTAGAGTGTGGAGTGTGGAGTGTAAAGTGTGGAGTATGGAGTGTAAAGTGTAAAGTGGAAAGTGTGGAGTGTAGAGTGAAGAGTGTAAAGTGCAGAGTGTAAAGTGGAAAATGTGGAGTGCAAAGTGTGGAGTGTGGAGTGTAAAGTGTGGAGTGGTGAGTGTAGACTGTAAAGTGTAGAGTGTAAAGTGTAAAGTGTGGAGTGAGAAGTGTACAGTGTAAAGTGTAAAGTGAGGAGTGTAGCGTGTAGAGTGTAAAGTGTAGAGTGTGGAGTGTAAAGTGTGGAGTGTTTAGCGTCAAGTGTGCAGTGAGGAGTGTAAAGTGTAAAGTGTAAAGTATGGAGTGGAGAGTGAAGAGTGTAGAGTGTAAAGTGTGGAGTGAGGAGTGTAAAGTGTAGAGTGTGGAGTGTGGAGTGTAAAGTGCGGAGTATGGAGTGTAAAGTGGAAAGTGTGGAGTGTAGATTGTAAAGTGTAGAGCGTAAAGTGTAAAGAGTGGAGTGAGGAGTGTACAGTGTAAAGTGTAAAGTGTGGAGTGTAGAGTGTAGAGTGTAAAGTGTAGAGTGTAAAGTGTAGAGTGTGGAGTGTAAAGTGTGGAGTGTGGAGCGTCAAGTGTGCAGTGAGGAGTGTGAAGTGTAAATTGTAAAGTGTAAAGTATGAGAAGTGATACTGAGGAAGGGGGGGCGAAGGGTTGCAATGTAAGGAGAAGTCCTCCAAAGTTGCTGCAGATGGTTTGGGCTTCTGTTCATACGGGATTGTAAGAGGACGTTTGGGGTGATAACTTCGATCATGGCCGCTACCACGACATTTCTCTGGGAGAAGATTCGGGCTAAGGGCTGGCTTTCGTCCCCCCTTCTCAGGTCTTAGTAGATATTTACTAACCATTTTTAAAGAAATGCAAGGTATATCAAGGTATATCAAGGTATCTAGAGATTGCCATGAAGGAATTCGCAGGTTTCAGCTTCAGTTGTTTTCCCACATCGTATCATGTCGGAACCCCAAAAGATGGGTTCCATATGGGTTCTACCAATTTTGTGGATCAACAAAATATGTATCATCACCTGCAAATATTTGTGGATAGGCAAGTGAAAGGAGACCAACTTTATTCGAGGTCTCAATGGCCATTTCAGGAACCGAAAAAGATGGAGGTACCTGCACCTCCCAACATAGTCAGCAAGTGAGCGACTAGAATCTAAAAGAAGAAATATTTTGGACATCCATGGCTTTATCGGGATTGTAATGACCATTGCAAGGAATTCTATTGGTGGCCACTGTCCATCAGCCATCAAAGCTAGTCCTGTCAGTAGTTATATCGCTCATGGACACGATACCCACATACATGCTAGAGAAGATCTTGGCCTTTGTTGGGCACATGATGTTTGGAACCAAACTGTTTTTTCTGCACATTTTTCAAAATTTGGATCCCCAAAAGTCAACCATTTGATGGTCTAATCTCACCGCATCGGACCGATGACAGCGGGTGCTGTGGGTGGCTATGTGTTGGGCACCAGTGGCTGTGAAGCAATTGAGATTCAGGTGCTTTGCCTCAACGGTGAAGGATGCAACTTCACTCTGAGCGGTTCCATCCTGGGGCATGAAGTGCGGCAGAACATTGTGCAGCGACTTCCTTCAAAGAAGGGGAGAAGATATGTGATCCATCACAAGAATTCACCGCTGCTGCTTCACCAAACATTGCAAGAGCAAGGCATTGTGGGTAAGACGGCAATACTTTCTTGCACATTTGTTCCTACTGATTTGTACAAAGCACTTTGCTATATCAATCGAGTCCCGGTCTCTGAGCAAGAGAGCGCACTTGAGGGAGTGACACTTATAGAAGGTGCCAGGTCAGGCGAGTATCTAAAACACCTTCCAGGAAGTCTTGAGACCTTGGTTTTTGAACATTCATTCAACCAGAGCCTAGCTGGACTACGCTTGCCAAAAAACCTTCAGCGCCTCACATTTGGACATTCATTCAACCAGACCCTGGAGGGAGTGAGCTTGCCCAACAGCCTTCAAAGCTTGACATTCGGCCTTGAATTCAACCAGACCCTGGAGAGAGTGAGCTTGCCAAACAGCCTTCAGAGCTTGACATTCGGCCTTGAATTCAACCAGACCCTGGAGGGAGTGAGCTTGCCAAACAGCCTTCAGAGCTTGACATTTGGCGGTGAATTCAACCAGACCCTGGAGGGAGTGAGCTTGCCCAACAGCCTTCAAAGCTTGACATTAGGAGGATTATTCAACCAGAGCCTGGAGAAGGTGAGCTTGCCCAACAGCCTTCAAAGCTTGACATTAGGAGGGAGCCTGGAGAAGGCGAGCTTGCCCAACAGCCTTCAAAGCTTGACATTAGGAGGATTATTCAACCAGAGCCTGGAGAAGGTGAGCTTGCCCAACAGCCTTCAAAGCTTGACATTAGGAGGATTATTCAACCAGAGCCTGGAGAAGGTGTGCTTGCCAAACAGCCTTCAGAGCTTGACATTCGGCCATGAATTCAACCAGACCCTGGAGAGAGTGAGCTTGCCAAACAGCCTTCAGAGCTTGACATTTGGCCGTGAATTCAACCAGACCCTGGAGAGAGTGAGCTTGCCAAACCACCTTCAAAGCTTGACATTCGGCCATGAATTCAACCAGAGACTGGAGAGAGTGAGCTTGCCAAACCACCTTCAAAGCTTGACATTCGGCCGTGAATTCAACCAGACCCTGGAGAGAGTGAGCTTGCCAAACCACCTTCAAAGCTTGACATTCGGCCATGAATTCAACCAGACCCTGGAGAGAGTGAGCTTGCCAAACAGCCTTCATCACTTGACATTTGGCAATAATTTCAACCAGACTTTGGAGATAGTGACCTTGCCAAGCAGCCTTCATCACTTGACATTTGGCGATGAATTCAACCAGGCCCTGGAGGGAGTGAGCTTACCCAGCAGCCTTCAGAGCCTGACATTTGGCGATAGTTTCAACCAGACCCTGGAGAGAGTGAGCTTGCCAAACAGCCTTCAGAGCTTGACATTCGGCCTTGAATTCAACCAGACCCTGGAGGGAGTGAGCTTGCCAAACAGCCTTCAGAGCTTGACATTTGGCGGTGAATTCAACCAGACCCTGGAGGGAGTGAGCTTGCCCAACAGCCTTCAAAGCTTGACATTACGAGGATTATTCAACCAGAGCCTGGAGAAGGTGAGCTTGCCCAACAGCCTTCAAAGCTTGACATTAGGAGGATTATTCAACCAGAGCCTGGAGAAGGTGAGCTTGCCAAACAGCCTTCAGAGCTTGACATTTGAAAATTCATTCAACCAGAGCCTGGAGAAGGTGAGCTTACCAAACAGCCTTCAGAGCTTGACATTTGGCGGTGAATTCAACTTCATTTCGATTAGCATGGTGTGATTTCCAGCATTTCATGTCTTTCAGATTGCAAGAACTAGATATATCACAAGTGTGTCATGGGCTTTATCGGGCGTGTGATAGGGCTGCAAGATGTCGGAATCTGCCGAATTGCCAGAGATGATTCGAGCTGCCAAAAATCTCTGGGTTTTCCAAGAAAGTCCTATGATTCGATGTGTCGTAACCGCAAAAAGTCACAGGGGGTCAATGGGGGTCAATGGAGCCGTCAAAATTGTGCATTTTATATATATATATATAGTCCCATGGTCGAAGGAGTGAACTGGGGTGCTTTTTTTGGGAAGTCTACTAAGTCTACCAGGACAATTCCTGAAGAGAAGCACTGGCACTAAATATTATATACTGACCCGAAATTAGGTGACTCAGCGAGAAACTTTGCCCCAGCCTTGAGGGATGTGCAGAAATCATCAGAAATCCTCATTAGCAATAGGGGACGACCCTGATTTTTGTCCGCTATGATGATTCTTGGTGAGAGCGCTGTTTGCGGATCCGTGCTTGGGAACATCCAGATCCGAAACATTTGATGTGTGCTGCATCTACATCTACAGACACACTTTCACAGAAGTCTGCAGGAAAGACCATAGTTTCCTGCAGATTTCCCCCAAGCAATCCATTGAATATCATGTTTGCTGTTTAAATCCCCATGAAATCCCGCTAGCCATCCCTGTTGTTGATGGCTATAATCCTATAAATCCCTACTGTTGATGGCTACAAATCCTATGAAATCCATGTCTAGCTCCCATAACATCAAAACTGAATAGCAACAGAGTTCTCTCTCAGGTGCTGCTGGTTCTCGCCTTGCTACCTTGCGCACGGTTTCTCAGCTGGCGCTGCCGGTTCCGAGAAACAATTTACGTAAAATACGAGGATTTAACTGATTTTACAAAATGATACATGGTGATTTACCCTCTGGTAAACTAACATAGCTATGGAAAATCACCATGTTTAATGGGAAAATCCACTATAAATGGCCATGTTCAATAGCTATGTTAAATTACCAGAGCATAACCATGAAAGCCTGAAATATGGGGATTTGCCATAAAAAAAGCCTGAGGATTGAAGCATTCCAAAATGGCGGAGGTTCCCGATTTATTCACCTTGAATGTGCGTAGCCTTTTTCAGAGGTTTCAACCAACGATGATGGTGTGGCTACCCCTACTTTAGGAAATCCCATATAGTGATCTAAAAGATATTTGATTTAATAAATAATTGGTTCTATGGTAAACCAGGTTAAACCCCATATAGTGATTAATGGTTATTACCCTTATATTTTATAAACAGAAGAATTTCCTCAACTCCATTTGTTGCGGTAGGGGCACTGAAAAAAAATCAGCAGAAGTGTACACCTGAACAGCGGGAGCTGCATTCTTACGGCTTGGTTTATCCGGTGTTCGATATGCCTTCTACCTGCTCAAAGGCGTCAGACATGAGCTGTGCGCCCAACCCATGTCTCTATATCATATCCACATGCATCGACGTTGGCTTCAATAGGTATTGTTTGACATTGCTTGAAATTGGATCCTAGTTAATCGAAGGAAGTTTAGAAGTCAAACTTCTGACAATATGGACAGATGGGAAAGCAGAGGTAGGAAGAGTCAGAGAAGAGAAAGGAATAAAAAAGAAGATCAGAAAAGAGAAAGAGTCAGAAGAAAGAAGATGCAGGTGCGCGACAAGGTATTTTTCCAAAGTTTTGTGGCTCCGGAGGGTCGAAAAGTAGGCTCGCAAAAGCGGCGGGTGCGGAGCCATCTTGCCGAATCTTGCGGTCTGAGAGATGAAAAAATGCACGCCATTGTGGCCCGAAGCAGATTTGGAAGTGAAAATGCGCAGAGCCCCTAAGTGTCCGAGCACTTTTGGAAGTTGGGCGGTTGAAAAAGCGCACGTTGTTGCCAATGCCGGCCTTGCCAGGCGAGCCCAAAGCTGCAGAAGCGCCGCTACCCACAAAACCTCATAAACAGTAATTTAAGAATTTGGCAACCCTATCCCATGGTCCTTCAAATTCTTGAAAAGTACCATGTTCTTGGTATCGCTGAAAATAGGTCGCCCGCATTGGATCCGAGCTCCTCAAATTACAATGCATTCTCATACAATAGCTGTAACAAACCACCTTCAAAATCACCACACATGGATGATAGAAACCATCCCCAAATGGTAGGTTTATGGCTGGATTTCCCAGATTAATATGTAATCTGATACAATCAGCCCACGATGACCGTGACGGTGAGGTTCAGCACCGCACGTGGCTGAGCACGCGGAGTTCCGTTCGAAGCAGCTCCGTGCTTTGCAGAGCCCAAGCGGCCGCTTGGCCTATTCTGGTACGACGCGTGCGCCTCAATGGTGCTTGGAGGATCATTCCACGTCGTAAGTGGTTAATGAGACTCGTTAGTCAGCCACCTAACTGGGGTTATCCTATACACAAGCGGGTTATAACCTCACTTAACCACTAGTTGAGTGGGATGATCCTTCAAGCAACGAGGGGTTGACCTTTGGCCCAACCTGGTTTTTGTAACTACTTGAACAATACAACCAGAAATGTAGCACTATACTACGGAAATTTACTGGTTGTAACTTGTAACTGTAACTACAACAATATTGATAATTTGAAAAACTGCAATACGGTAAAATTGATTTGAATTCATAGCAGTTGCTATGCTTAACAAACTATATCATAGTAATAGTATGTAATAGTACATACATGTAACATAGCAATAGTGGTGTGATAGTAGAAACAGTTGAAAGAAAAGTAGTACTGTTAATGCCATCCACCAAATTATCAGTGTGACCCTCGGAAAGTAACCATTCTTAGCTTGAAAAATGTCTTTCAATCCCCGACCTGTGGCAGGGTCGTTAGGTTAGTTACTGGGGTGGCAATACTTTGCCATAAATGGTGATCTATACTGGACGGCTGACCAGCTATGAAGCACATTATTCATTTGATCAGCAAACAGATCAGCAAACAGTTTTGAATTATATTATCCTTCCATCAGTTGTGCCCCCTGAGAATTTCTTCACGGGGTGGTGCAGGTCAGCCATGAAGTTTCTAGGAGTTCCAAAAAAGAGAAAACAGTGCGAAACCTGGAAATTATAGAGACACCATCATCAATTTACCGTCCTGGAAATACATTTCGGCATCTTACTTTGCTAAGTTGGTTCGTTCGCCTACAAGTAGATTCTAATTAGATTTTTTTGGGGTACCCAACCTATGGGGGTTAGTACAAGGTTATACCCATTAAACTACCACCAATATCGGTATTTTCCAGTATCTACCCATGACATTCCCATTAAACCGCACTAAACCAGCATTGAAATCATGATATCATGGTTGAACCATAGGTAAACCAGACATTTTCCCTCTTTGTGTTCCAGTTTTTGGTTGAACCATAGTTCAGCCATAATTCACCACCATTTTCCATGCCAGTTTCCCATGACTTCCCCATTGTTTTGATGCTTCCCATGGTGCCGCCCGGAGGATGCCACCTTAGAGGTGGAGTGCTTGGAAGACCCGGCGGCAGGGCCGCCGAGACGAAGATGGAGAAAGGGGAAGCGTTTCGCCATGAAACCGTGGCCAGTTGATATATGAAAAATCTGGGAATTGAGTACATCAACTCTATCACTATATCCATCAATTCTTTCCAAAAATTGGATATTTCCATATATGGAAAATCTTGGAATGATGTACAAGTAACCGGTAAAACCATGGGGAAACCAACTGGTCAAGGGTAGTTTCACTCTGTAATTATTATGTATGTTCTTACTATTGATGGGTATAGTTGCATATGAACCGAGCCAAACATTTCTCTGCCGGGGCCAATCTAAGATTGGTCATGGTAAGGGGATCCATTTAACATTGGTAATTCCATGGTTATCCCATCTTGATCTCGGTATAATTCCATCAAAACTCTTCTTGACCCCATCAAACCTGTCAAAATGGAAATCTATTGCCCCTGAGAAAATCCCATAGGACATGATGATTTACGATGATTTGCCTCTAAAAAATGGTGACTTTCCAGCTCGCTACGTCAAATCCAATATATACATGAATATATACATAAATATATGCATAAATATAAAAATAAATATATACACAAATATATACATAAACATATATAAATATATCGATTATACACATATTATGTTAATATTATGTCAATGTTCTTGATTTTTTCATGATAACTCACATCAATCCGCCATCCCAATGGACGAGTTCTATAGGCCATCCAATGGACCAAAGACCAGGGCGCAGCCAGCTGGCTGGAACTCTTAGAGCTGCTCGGCATTCCAACAAAATGGCGGAAATATATGGGAGTATCTTTGAAATCATGGGTTTTTCCCAGATTTTCCATGGATTAATAGGCCATCATACCTCAAAAAAATCATCCATTTTCCATATGGGGGTCTGATTGGTATATTATATATCATATATTATGGTATATTATATATATGGTAAATTATATGTATCACCAATAATAAACTATACAGACTATACATTTGGAGGCTTCCTACGTCATGGGGGGATTCCCAGTTCTCATCCATTTATAGATGGGATTTTCCAGTACCATCCAGCTATTGGGGTACCGCATTTAAGGAAACCCCCATATGGAAATATCCCAATTTTAAATGGAATATAGTGATGCATATAGTGATGGATATAGTGATGGATATAGATGATAGTCATTGATAGATGGATAGATGGATATAGTATGATATAGTGATCAACATCTATACTAGTAGTGGTTGATAGAAGGGTAGAGCTTATCCTCAAAGGGGAAAGAAGCAGTGGATGTGGGATTCTGGCTCAATCGCTATCCCACAGCAAGGAGGAATCACAATCAACACACGGAACGCATGTATCGTATCGCTCCACAGACAGAAGCGCAATATATATATATATATGTATATATAATAATATATACATATATATATATATATAATAATATATATACATATATATATATCATATTGTTTATGATATATGTATAATTTGTATATATATATACTGGATATATATATATATTATATATATACATATGTATGTATTATATATATGTATATACACATACATACATATCTACATACTTCGGTTGTTTCTGTATTCCTATTCCAGTCTCTTGTCTCCAGCTAGTTTGCTAAATTGAAGATCATGTGCGCAATACTTAGTTTGCCAAAGATAACACATCATGATGATGTGTATATTTACTGTGTGTACATCTATATGTCTGCAGATGTATGTGTACCGATGAACACCATGTCAGAACTAAGGATAGATCGGCCAATAGATATCTCAGATACGTGAACACTAGCTGCAGCTTGTTGTTATTTGGACACGTTTGGACTATGCACATGTCCGCAAATTGACAGTTTCTGCAATTGTTTTTTCCACTAGATTTATATCCACAGATGTGTTAGTTGATACCCCACTTGATGGTGCCTAGATGCATTGCTGTTGGTCGAATCCCCATTCCCTTGATCTCTAACTCTATATGTTTGCTCTGGAATCATTCATTGTTGTTTGTTACATCTTTTATTTTTGAAGTTTCTGTGATAATGTTTGTGACACAACCTATGAACACTTCATTTTTGTTGCTTACACTGCATACTTGGATGATTTTGCATAATTTTGGATGATTTTGGTGCTTTAGATCCCCTTTTTTATATGTTCCTACCTGAAGCATCAGTCACCTCATGTCGCAGCGAAGCCAGGGATTCAGATGCTGTCATCGAGGTGCCGTGGGACCGAGGGGCCCCTCGGGGCGGGGCCGAAGGATTCCACTGAGATCATGTGTGATTTATGGATATTTGGAGATTTAAAAGCTAGTAATTATCAATTAATGATTTATTGATCAATGATTGAATACTAGATCAGTATTAAAAGGTGTCCACATATCAGTGATTTATATTATATTGATTTATAGTATCAATTTCAGATATTTCAGTGATTCATGGAAACTCGTATTAAATCACTGGAATCAGTTGAAATTATTATTTGGGAATCTCATCAACACACGTGGTTTGAATATTGCTGAGCATGATTCATGCCCCAACAGGTATGGGTTACCGGTTGGACACCTTCCAGTCCATGTTGCTTGTTCACATCTTCACATGTTGTTGGTTTTATCCACAATTTTATTAATTTTTTCATGGTTCTGCAAGTAAAAACCATCCACAAATCCATGGTTTTCCATATATTTCGCTAGATTGATACTGTGGATGGAAGAAATCCTGCACCAGTTGATAGATGGTGTATCCCATTATTTATAGGGTTTCAACTTTCAACCATCCAAGGTGGTGCAGGATTTCTTCCATCCACAGTAGGATCTACTGTATATTCTTGGTAAATCCATCCAGTTCTGCAAGTAAACACCAGGCTTTCCTCTGTGATTTGAGATCAAACCTGGCTGCCCCGTGTTTTTTTTCTTGTGGCTGGCCATGTAAAGGTTGTCATGTCCATTGCATAAACATATGTCTATGGATCTAAAAACCTGGTACCTAGTGAACCTCAAAATAGCTGGTAAACACACGTTCATCCCACTAAAATTGATAGGTAATAGGTTTTGACCCACCCCCATGTTGCTCAACTCTCCGGTTTTGAGTCATGATCAAGATCAAACCTTGGTACCCCGTGAAGTTGGATGAGTATCGTTCCCAATTTTGATCTAATGTGGCTCAACCCAGGGAAGAAGTGGGAATCATCCAACACCACTGATGCCCCCAGTTACAGTACCCTCTGGTAAACTGTCACATAACTATGGAACATCACCATGTTTCAATGGGAAAACTCACGACATTTCTATGGCCATGTTCAATAGCTATGTAACAAATTACCAGAGGGTAATCCATATGATCCCATAGACCTGAAAAAATAGATCATATGGATGGGATTATCATATAATCATCCATATAATCCATATATAATCCATATAATCCATGATATATAATAGATCTTATATTATGGGGAATGTAATCCTATAGATCATAGACTATAGTAGGGGATCTTCCATACATATTATATATATATATATAACTGAGGTAGAACATGGTATAACCGTCATAAATCCATAGGGTAAATCCCATTAGATCCCATTAAACCACCATAAATCCCATGGAAAACCACCAACTTAGTTGCCATTTTCGCCTTGCCACATCGCCCAAAAAGGCGGCCGAGCCTTCCTCGGAGCCACGCCTGCGGCGCCTCCTGCAGCAGCGCGCCAGCGCGGAGGGCGCTCTGCCGGCGTCGCTGGCGGTGCGGCACAGCCCGGCGCTGCGCAGGGCGGCGCCATGGCGATGGAAGGGGACGATCTGGGATGATAGGTGGCTACTAAACCTATAATTACATATACATATATAATATCTATATATATATATTGACTATATATATATATATATATTGACTAAACCATACAAATAATATATATATATATTAATATTATAATCACATAAAAAAGTGGGAGAATAAACATGGCTACAATATAGACAAGTTTGCAAAAACAGTAATAATCGCAGTAATAACTATGATGTAAAATAAACTATAATGTGGTGAAACTTTAAACTATGTTTTACAAACTATAACGTCTTTTTTCTTAAGAAAACAACAACATATGTATGACACTATTATAAAGATATAGAAAGCAATAATTACAGTAAATGAGGTGAACATGAGGTGAATAATGGTATTACTTGTTAGGATTTCAGATTATAGATGAATATATATATATATATATAATGGTCAAAGATTACAACATGATCTTGACGATATAAACAGTGCAAAGGTGGGAGGTGGATCAGCTACAACAAACATCCTCGCAACTGGTTTCATGGTAGTTAAACCTCCAGAAATTTAAATGATTTCCGAGGGAAACCATGGGTTCTCCACATCTATGTTAATCTACTCGAAGGAATATGCTAATTGTAGTGGGGGATTTTTTTCCCGCTGGGTGTCAGAGTTCAGTCCATGAAGTTTCAACCCCCGGTGCGGCTCTCAGGTACGTATCTTGAGAGATCTTCACAGGGACGAAGGTGGGGATTATCAGCATAAATTCTGTGCAGGGCCATGGCCGGAAAGCCAACACACTGTCGGGTTCTGACAGAGCCGCCGAAGCGAAGAAATCCATGGTTCGTGAAGTGGTTTTTCCCCAAGTGATACGGATTCCACTGCACTTAAACGGGCTTCTGTTAATTCCATAATTCACATGATTCACGTGATATACGACATATGGTATATGATCTGATATGAGTGTCAAGAATGGATGGCTTGAATTTTCAATACCAAATGTTAATGTTAGAGATAAATAGACACCTACGGTACCATGCGGTAGTGGAACCATGGATTTTCCATGGCCGCCTGGTGCAACGGAAGGGAATAGCAAGCAGGTGGTCGTCCGTTGAATGATCTCATTGATGTTGCACTGGATCAGATGGCCAAAGGCCAGTTGGACACTTGGCATAAACTGATATAAACTGGTGTGATTTCATGGGAATTGGGGGTATGGGATAAAATTGGGGATTCACCACCAACAATGGAGGTAGGTAGATGAGAGCGGCCTCATGATGAGGCATCGTAACATGCAGAATTCTGAAGGGATCATCACAAAACAATCTCTCTTTCAGGTGTGTGAACTATATATATATATATACACCCTCTGGTTACTTAAGATAGCTATGGACAATTCCCTTATTTATATATAGATGTTTTTCCCATTGAAACCTCAAGTTACATGTTTGACTACTGGGGTCGCCCAGACGGTCCCGTCCGAAGAAAATCGCCTTTTCATATTCCCGTTGGAAGCTCATGATGGTGGGATGCCCAGACCCCAAAATCCATGTAAATCTGGATGATGGGTTTTATGTATTTTTATGTAACCATGAAACTATGGGGGTATAAGTGGATATAACATTATAATAACATTATATATAACTGATAAATGATGTTGAATTACCAAATTTTCAGGTTTGGAATCTGTTTTTTTCGCCCGGTGATTTCACCCAATTTCAGGGACACTTTAAAAACAACTCAGTCACTGCATTTTGCTGCAGCCAAAGTCCAGTGCAGAATCCAGGTCAAACAACATGTAATATAGTCATTAGTCATTACATGAAATTTCCCACTATTGGTTGAGCCATGTTTCTCCCACTCTAGGAACTCCAAAAAGGTAGAAAACACCGCTTCCAAAGTGCTGTAGATTGTTTTTCCCGAATTTCCAAGTTTCCAACTGTTCTAATTGTTCAAGTGTTGCTATCTAGTTTTAATTCAAAAATAATATACTGTACACCTAGTTGTGGAAGTCAAAGCGTTTCAATGAAATGTGCGTCCTAGGTGGGGGAGAAATTTCTGGAAGTCGGTGCGATGTTGCGTCCAGTTGGTGTTTATCATGTTTGTGTTTTCTCCAATTGATGGTTTATCGTGAGTTTTTCATGGATACCATGCAGATGGTTGTAGCTATTCCCTTGTGTTTTGGGAGTCTTGTACATCACTTGTGGCGCGCCCTGTTGTGCAAGATTCATACAAACACCGACGAATACTGGGTCGATGTTATCACAAGTGCCTATGGGGAAAGGCCCGCATGGGCAGCGCCTATCACTTTAACTTACTGATGTATTTTTTGGCACTTCGTATAGGCACACGACGCTTACCTGTCATATCTTTTTGGGTTTACCCACTATACTCCCAAAGATGAAAGCCGTGGCAATTGATTGTATACTTGTTTGCCAAGCTTGCGTCCCTTTGCTCTCCTTGCTCTTGCCTGCAGCTGCTGCTTGGCTTGGTTTCCTCTTCTGCTCCACCGCTGAAAGCTCTTGAGTCTAACTGTTCTGAAAAGAATGCGAAAGCGTGTGGCTACCAAAGAGTTTGTCAGGAGACTTAGGGGGTCAGTCTCCCAAAATCTGATTTCGGACCTCGTTTGGACCTCGTTTGGACCTCGTTTGCACCTCGTTCGGACCTCGTTAAAATTGCAGCCAGTCAAAACCCAGCCCGGAGAGGTTTTGGAAAGGCTTTGCAATGGTCTGCTGCTTGGTCTGCTGCTGCTGCTGCTGCTGGTGTTGTTGTTGTTGTTGTTGCTGCTTGTGTTGCTGCTTCTGGGCAAGGCGCGGTTTTTGGGCAGAGAAGCAAGAGATTTTGTCTAGCGTAAGCGGTGTGCCAGCCATGCGGCTGGCGCAAGTTCTAGTAAATGGCGTAGGTATCAATGTGCATGTTTGGATAAGCGTCCACATGGTGTTTAACATCCGTGGATATATATTTTTAAGATTGTGAGACATAACTGTGCACACGCGTCCTGATGGGGATTTGGAAAATTTGGGAATAGAAAAGTGCACTGCCAGGGATCTAAAAATAACACTTCTATATAGTGCGTCCCATGGTGTTTTAGACCTGGTTGCATTGACTTGTTTGACTTCCTGAATGCGCGGCGTCCCATGCAGCTTTTACCTTCGTTCCACATATGCACTGACTTTCACGTCCCAGTGTACTCATTACTATAGATATTTTCTCAGTACTCAGTCAGTTTCCTACAGATTTTCCCTTTCAAAAGGCTGATGTTCACCGGTTGACCCCAGGATTGGTCTCAGATCTGCAGCGTGGCACCTCGTTTGGCCGCGCATGCAGAAGAGGCGCAGGAGGCGATCAAGTTGCTGACGTTAGGCGCGGTCATGGGGGGATCATGGTTTCCAGGGCTTCAGCTTGGAGGTTATACAAACTGGCTTAATTATTGGGGATTATTACATAGTATTACAACGCATAATCGGAATAAATATGGAATGTTTTTTTTCATGGCTCAGTTGGATGGAACAAAAACTTGGAAATTCAAGATTCGGATGGCAGGCACAAGTATATAAATGATTCTACAACACTATGGTCGTGGCCTCACCGCTTGGATATATGGGTGTTCCTGCGGATTCTGTGATTCTCGCTGTGCCATCCAATTGAGAACAAAGTCATCCAAGTAGTTCAGCATTTAGCATCAGCATGGGGCGAAGAAAAGATGGGTACTGTTGTTGGGTTTGGTTGATTCAGCAAGTGTGTGATTTTTGCGCATTATTTAGATATTGTTAATATTGTTTATTTATTTGCGTATTTCACATTTCTGCCGTACCTCTTGTACGAAGTGCTGTAATATCAACCCTGGACTTATAGACCCCAGTGGTTTAACTTGGGGAGGACCGCACAAGAGACATGATGGGATATTGTGTGACCGTACAATCGTTTTCCTGGAAGATATGCTTGTTACATCTTGTTACGCAGTCCATCATATTTCGTGTCGATAGGTTATTTTGGCGGATTTATCGATTCGTTATCTGGTGGATTTGCTTATCATATCCCATAGGATCCATGGTGCTGGTATATATGCTAACATTGGGGGTATATTGATGGGATCCATGTTACCATCTATAGCATAATTCCATGGATCCTATGGGTATTAGCAGCTATTTTCCACCCATCAACTCTTTTTTTCTTTGCTCCGTAGCTTTCTTTTCCTCTGTCGATATGGGCCATGGCTTCAGGCAACAACATGGCCGAGGATGTGATTCTCAGTGGAGGCCACCAGGGGCGAAAGAAAATTACTGTCGATATCCGATTATAAGATATTATATATATATATATATTATATGAAAATATATGGTTATACTATATTTAGACAGTATATTTGTTATACATAGTTATACTAATATATATATATATATATATGTATATATATATATATCTGGGTAAATTATAGCGACCTCACTGTTCTCCCTCACTGGGAATGGTGGTTAGTAAGGGGAATCATCCCCAAATGGCCCAACAATTCAGGTTAGTGAATTATTATACCCAGATATATGAACATATGGTTATGGCTACTGTACATCCATGAACCATAGTCATTTATATAAAGATATTTGGCTTGTTCCAAAACAACATGTATTATTGTTGATGAATCGTCAATCTGTAGATGTCATTATAGTTTACTGTTAACTCCGATGTGTTGGTATTTTTTTGTAGTATGACAGTATGCCAATGAATTAATTGTCAGTTGAGGTAAATGTATATACCAATATACCATTAAGTATCATTGTTTTTTCAGGTGTTTTTTTTGCAACAGTTGTGACTTCGTTTGATGGTCGTGGATTGGATTTCTACTTACTGATTGACGATGGATGATGGAAATCCCCTGGTGCATAGGAAAGTCCAGACCACAAATAGACCCTTTCCGACCCTTTCCGAAACCTCTTAGATTCCTCTTCCTTTCCTCTTCCGGAATGAGAGACGCTGCTTCCTCTTCCTCACTCTTTCTTTCCTATCTCTTTTTCTTTCTTTCCCTCTTTCTTTTCTTGTTTATTCTTCTATCTGTCCTCTATCTTTCTTCTTCCGTTCCTGTTCTTTTCCTCTTTTGTTATAAGACCATTGGTAGCGATAGGGCCCTTTAAAAGCGATGTTTTTTTTTTTCGAGAACTCAGCCAAAACAATGAGTCTTGACAACGGCTCATACTTAGAGGTTGTCTCAAGTCTAGATATGTCTCGATTTACTAAGGATCATAGCTTGGGTTCCCCCGACATTTGGGCGCTTGTTTTGTGCCCATGTTGAAACGGGTGGTTCACATGGTGACCCCCAACAAACCACCAGAGTGATCAATGACTTTTGACACTTGGACTAGGTGAGACCGGACCTCCAAGTAGGCACTTAGTGATGGTTGAGCAACCTCAAGCCCCTCCAAACCACCAACAAATTCAAGGCAAAATTGGGATCGCACATAAACACAATTAAACACATAAGTACCCTCATGGAAAATGGCCCATTTATAGATGGTTTACCTAGTAACAATGGTGATGTTCCATGGCTATGTTAGTCATAACCAGATGGTAAATGAATCACTAGATGAATCAATACATGGGTATGGATCAATACCTATACATACCATTTTTAGGGGGATGAACATACATTTACCAATGTTCACCAGGGGTACAAGGTTTTGACACACTGCCACATCAACAAAATGAATCCAAAGAGAACCCAAGGCCTCTCCCAAGTCCCCCGGGTGTGTCCCCGTCCTTCCCGTTACAGGCAATGGACTCTGCATTGAAGGCCGTTGGAACGATGCGTCGATCACGGGGCGCCTGGAGCGTCGCTTGGATCTGGGGCCATTAAGTAGCCATGGGATTGGGATTTTGATGGGGAAAAAAGGATAACTCCCAGGAAACAATGATAACATAACTATCAAAATCACTAAATATGGCACAATTCTGGCAAAACAAATCGAAATATGTGGGATTTTTGTTGGGGTCATTTCAGACAAATACTGACATATTGACTGTATTGGATTTCAGATGGGTGAATTATTGTAATTTAGCCAAAGCATGTAGTAACACGAGGTTTGTTTACCATTAGTTGATGAGCAAATAACCAGGATAAATATGGATAATCCTGATGAAGGAACACGAGAAAAATGCCTGACTCCACAACTTGATGCAATTCATGGGCAATTGTCACACGAGTTTGTGTCTCAGTGAATGTCCCGGGTACATTCGGATGTACTTGGGGTGAAGTCAACACCAAAAGTCACCTAAGAAACCAACATGGGAACATCATCTTCCCGGCCTTGGGAAATGTCATCGGCTATGATGTGGATACGATCACTACAATTATCATGTCCCAAGACAAATAATGCATATAGTCATGTACATATATATATATATTATATATATATTATATTGTAATGTCCAAAAATGTTATTATAGGTTCACAATTGTTCACATATCATAAATATATATATATATATATGATATTTATATATAATCTTTATACAACTCTACCTATCCATCCATGACTTCTGACCGCCTCACTGTCCCATGTCCGGCTGTGCGGTGAGGTGGATCCAGTGAGTTCCAGTGAGATCCTGAAAAACATCAAATCCACATTGACAATCATTGATGAACACATGGCATTGTTTATCCACTACAACATATTGATATACTATACATATATATATATTTATAATATATATATATATTATACATATGATATTATGATATGATATGATATGAGATGATATGATATGATATATATATATATATACATATATACAATATATAATACATATATATATATATATATTATGATATGATATGATGTTATATGATATAATATGATATGATATGATATGATATGATATAATAAATATGATATGATATGATATGATATGATATAATATGATATGATATGATATATATATATTGCACTCCATTCATGCCAAACTATCTCCCTACCATCTTCTTTGCTGCATCTCAGGCACCAAAGAGGAGGGATGGGGACAGCCGCTTGGCAGATCGGCCTTCATGGGGGATCCCCAATAGCTGGATGGTTTATTTCATGTTAAAAGCCGTCTATTTCATGATTATAATGGATGATAACTAAGGGTAGCCCCATGACTTCGGAAACCTCCATTTGTAGATGTATTTGCTGCATGTGGTGACCCTTGCCTGGTTGATAGACTGATAGATCGGTAGGTAGATCCAAGAGGTACAGGGCCATGAAACTTGAGGCATCGGAGGTGACGCTGGTTGCAAGTTTGAACCAAACATCCAAGTCTTCCTCTCGCTGTTTTCCATGTGCTCGATCATCGAAAATCCCTAGCATTAGCGAGAGTATGCCATTTTTTGTAGTTCCAAGTATGCCCCTATGCAAATGCCAGCCTATCTAGGTTGATGAGATAGATACTGTAACACTGTAGTTTGCCGGATAGGAGATGTGAAATGCTGCCATGGTGAACTCGCCTTGTTTTGATTCTGATTGGCTTCACATTTTGGGTCAAATTCACCCCCAAAATTTGTCGATCCAGTTCATCCCATTCAATCATGTTCAATCCATTTCCAGCCAACCTCCACAAACTGTCATTTTTCTTAAAGACATCCCACATCTCCAAGTGACCGACCTTTTAGTCACCAGGCTGCCCCTCCAGGTGGGCCTCCTTCTTCTTGGCCGAGGGACCTGAAGAACTCTTGGGGCACCGAATGGTGGCATGTTCCCCGGCCAAGTTCTCGACACCTCTTGGGTTTTGGGATGTTTTGGGACACTCCACTGACTAGCTCCAGCTCTCGAACTTTAGGCATAGTTTGAAGATCTTTCACAGTCCTTCTCATTGACTAGAGGTAAGAAGCCATCCCGGCAGTTGTATCTGGCACTGGATATTACTGCCAATTCAATCCTTTGATCTTCATTGATGAGTTTGCCGGAGAGGCAAGAGAACCAGTGGCGGAAACGTGTTCAACCCCAAAACAGGCAACTTGGCAATGCAGAAATTGGACCGGAAGGGCTAAGGTTTGTTGAAGACCCGCAGATTGGTGCTTCAACAATTGCAGAACGCAGTGACTTGAGCTACAGCCATATCCACGGTTTCAGGATCGACGTTCCTTTGTATGTTTGCCCCATGGGATTTTGAGATTTTTTGAGCGAAGATAGCCGAGCTGCCTGACTTCCGGCTTGGATTGATCTCACTACCCGGTTTCAAGCGATGTAAAGGTTCTTGCGTCCAGCATGTGGTTTGAAACTCACAACAAGGCAGAACAAGGCAGATATGACGGTATGACCGGTATGACATTAAAATACGCGCAGATGATAGATATGGAGATGGATCAAAACCAATGATTTTATATTTCCTTTTTGAGGCTGGATGAGGATCCATTTGCCAACTATTTTTTGGTCATCAAGGTAGCAGCGTTATCCACATACCATGTCCGAACTAGTAACACCCAACAAAAGCAAAAAACATCTGCCACTTGGCAGAATTTTACTTTTATATCTTTTTTGGGGGTATACATAATCGTATGTATATAATTGTACATATATGTATATATATATTTATGAAAACTCATATATATATATTATACATATATATATAATATAATATATATATATATATATTTATCATATATATATATATTTATCATATATATATATATATTATACATATATATATATATTATGTATTATATATATATTACACATAAATATGAATATATATATATACAATCTTTTCTGAACTCGTGGATGTAGACTCCATCCCTGTCGCTTGGCTGGTCCATCACGAGGCGAGCCGTCCTTCAAAAGTGGAGACCAGCTCTACCTTGCGATGCCTGATCGGGCAGCCGTGCTGGACACTGGGCTGTGACGGGACAGATTGGCTAAGTGACCAGGGGATAGCCTGGCAAGATTTAAGGTAACCCAGTTATAATTTGGTTTACAAGCCCCGGTAACTAGTTCGTTATAAGTACCATAAACCATAGTTATTGGAGTTATTTGCACCAACTGAACGCTATCTAACGTGGGCCTCACATGGTAAGGTAACCCTGGTAACCCTGGTTGATTCATTCAGAAATGGGATGATGGGGATGAACTCGGATGAACACCCAAAAAATGCTTCATACTTTGGGACTTTGGGATACTGTGCTATCAAAATCTCTGTAGAGTAAATAGGTGGATAAGACATGATAAATATGCTTTGTTTCCAGGAGTCTTGGAACATAGTATGACATAGTCGTCCCTCAAGCCAGTGACTCAAATATTTCCAGAGATGAATCCCATCCTCCCAAAAAATTATGGGTGCTGATTCCTACACTCCCCGATCCAACATGGTTTCTGAGACATATTTAACCGATATTCGTGATAGATATTTCCAGGTTGGATCCCAATGATTTTTTTCGGAGACAGACATCATATATATCAGTGGGAGAATCGAGATTATACATGATCGATCATTATCAATTATTGTTCACAATAATAATAGCAATTAAGAATAATCTTGATATGTATATATGTATTATAATCATCAACATCATCAATAGTTCATGATCTATGATCAATGTTATCATCAATTATATTATCCATAGTTGATCATCCTTATTATTTCCTACCTCCACAGACTGGTTTCTGGGGAGGGGATGGGCCAGGAACTGGCCACCTACGATCAGTTGCCGGAGTTTGCGGTGGAATTGGCACGGCTCCTGCAGGAGGGAGTCGATGAGAAAGGCCGGCTTCTTGGGCGCCTGGTGATGTGGTGAGTTGATTCGTGGTAAAATCTGAAAATCCCATCAGATTTAAAACCGATTTGTTCATGCTAAAGTCCATAGTTTCCTGAAAACAACGTTTTTCAACCAATCCATTGAGTGACGATTTGGGAGCATGTTCTGGTGGCTAATAAATGTTGGGTCTCGGCGGATGCGGATGGACAAGGAGACGAAGATCGCCCGGCCTTGTCCTGGTGTAACAAAGCTATGGACTGGATATGGTGATATTCTTAATGGGATGAGTAACTAACAGTTATATTAATATGGTGATTAATGAGTAACTAATGGTGATTATTGGTGAGTAACTAACAATATGGCGGAAAAAAAACACTTCCCTGACACATCCTGACACCATCTTGAAGTGTATACCTTGCACACTGAGCAGATCTTAACCCATGTTTTCCTGGATATGCTGACTCGTAGAGTCTAGATTTTGATCTCAATGTATATAATGTCCTCAAAACCAATCGAAAGTTTCAGCCACACCCTTGCTGTGCAGTCACAGCATAAAGATTCAGTCCCACTCCCGAGGCTATTCCATGTGTTTGTTGATTCCAAGTTCCCCAAAAAGAGAGGAAGAACAAGATAGAAAAAACATAAACAACCAATAAGGACACGGAGCAAAAACATCGAACATTAGAAAAATGCAGAGACACAGAAAAACAATTCATAAAACATATATATATACATATATATATATATACACACCCCGGTTCGGATCCCAAGTTGTTCCTCGGAGTCCCGCGCCAGGCATCGTGGGGCCACCGGAGATGGTGCAAGCGGCGAAGTTTCTGAACAGCATCAAGGACCTCAACGAAGCTGAGGAGGTGGAGTCAAGTCAAAGCTTGATGGATGTTGGATGGAATTTACGATGTAGATGATATATATATATATATATACGTATATACAATATAATTATATATATATATACAATATATATATATATATATATGTACAATATATATATATATACAATATATATATATATGTACAATATATATATACAGTATATATATATATACATTCGGGAAGATGATTCAATATGATTGGAGAGTATGTACCGTTTGCATTCTATGGGCCGTGGAATAGCAGACCGCTCATTGGTTTCCACCAGACAGGCTGAACGTCGCTTGTATCGTTTCGAGAAGCGCTTTGGCAAAGAAAGACATGGGATGGATGGTGCAAGACTGGGGTCAAATGAACAGCTATCAGGATCTCATAGCTATAGGTGAGATATGTATACATATATATAATATATATATACATAAAATAGAGATGAGAAGAGGTGAGACTAGATTAGATTAGATGATTAGATTAGATAGAGACCTTCATTTGATATATATATACATATGTGTATGTTTATGTGTTTGGCATCAACTATCCAATTTTTAAAAAGTACAATGCCCAACTAAAAGAACATTTTTCGGGCACCACGGTCATGATGCCAGCCAGAACCAACCAGAGGATGCGGAAGAAAATTATACCCCTGCTGATGAGTCATTAGACATGGGGAGTTACTATAACCATCATTTATAGGGGTTTTGGTTGTTTTATGTTGTTTTATTTTGTTGTGTCTATCAAACATATGGGCATATCAGTGGCATATCATTGATAAATGATGCTTGACTACATAAAGTTATGATACGAGGCTATACCAACTGGTTTGTTGATGATAATTGTAATGTAACCCCTAATTTATAGGGATATATATATATATATATCTATATCTATATCTATATCTATATCTCTATTGAATTAACCAACCAGACAGGCCACGTCATGCCATTTTTCCATGGGGAAATCGCAAGCGGGGATCCCATGGCGGCCAGGACATCCCACCAGAAATTTGTCTCCCAGCAACAGCGAATTCTCATGGATTCACCATATTAGAAAACCTGTAGTGAAAGTGATGAAGATATTCTAATATAGTCTCATAGTGGATGTTATATATATTACTATATATATATATATATATTACTATGTTATATATATATATATATTACACATCCAAAAAATAGCCATGAAAAGAAAACACCGAGCCGCTCCAACTAACACAGCCTGTGGAGCCAAGAAACCATGAGGTCGCCCCTGTCGCGACGCCTCTACGACGAGTTGCAGTCGGATCCCGTGTGGGCCGAGTTCTGGACGGCGATTACTCCCAGGATTCCGGAGATTTACAAGGCTGCCAACGGGTTTACCAACTGATGGTGAATTCCAATGATGTTTAATGGGGAAAATGAATGAAAATGAGGATGAATCATGATAATCATGAGATCTTACTGCTGTTCTACGTTTTTCGTTTTTCAAAGAACGGAGATCCTTGAGACATGTTTCCATGGGACGCGGCTCGCTGCGCTGCTAGCCATGCTTCAGGCCTTCCGTCAAGCCATGCTTCGCAGTCGGCCGGCGCAAAGGATGGAGCCCAGGAGCCCTTCCGTTGTTTTTGTCATCATTAACCATCATTAACCATCATGAACCATCATTAACCATCATGAACCATCATGAACCATCATTAACCATCATTAACCATCATTAACCATCATTAACCATCATGAACCATCATTGACCATCATGAACCATCATGAACCATCATGAACCATCATTAACCATCATTAACCATCATTAACCATCATTAACCATCATTAACCATCATGAACCATCATGAACCATCATTAACCATCCTGCACATCATGAACCATCATTGCCATCATGACCATCATGAACCATGCATGAACCACATTATACCATCATGAACAGCATGAACCCATCAGAACCTATATTAACCACTCATTAACCATCAGTAACCATCATGAACCATCCATTAACCATTCAGACCATCATGAAAACCATCTTGAACCATCAGTCACCCTCCCTTAACATCATTAACAGCAGTACCGTCTTAACCTCATGCAACCCCCAGACACATCTACCCATCATTAACCATCATTAACCATCATTAACCATTCTGAACCTCATTAAACATCCTGAACCATTTCATTAACCAGTCATGAACATCATAAACCATCATGCCCACATTAAACAAAATCATGAACCATATTAAACCTCATGGAACCTTCATGAAACCAGTCATTGAACCATCATGAACCATCATGAACCATCATGAACCATCATGAACCATCATGAACCATCGTGAACCATCATGAACCATCATGAACCATCATGAACCATCATGAACCATCATGAACCATCATGAACCATCATGAACCATCATGAACCATCATTAACCATCATTAACCATCATGAACCATCATGAACCATCATGAACCATCATTAACCATCATGAACCATCATGAACCATCATTAACCATCATTAACCATCATGAACCATCATGAACCATCATTAACCATCATGAACCATCATGAACCATCATTAACCATCATTAACCATCATTAACCATCATGAACCATCATGAACCATCATGAACCATCATGAACCATCATGAACCATCATTAACCATCATTAACCATCATGAACCATCATGAACCATCATGAACCATCATGAACCATCATGAACCATCATTAACCATCATGAACCATCATGAACCATCATGAACCATCATTAACCATCATTAACCATCATTAACCATCATGAACCATCATGAACCATCATTAACCATCATGAACCATCATGAACCATCATTAACCATCATTAACCATCATTAACCATCATGAACCATCATGAACCATCATGAACCATCATTAACCATCATGAACCATCATTAACCATCATGAACCATCATGAACCATCATTAACCATCATGAACCATCATGAACCATCATGAACCATCATTAACCATCATGAACCATCATGAACCATCATTAACCATCATGAACCATCATTAACCATCATGAACCATCATGAACCATCATTAACCATCATTAACCATCATTAACCATCATGAACCATCATGAACCATCATTAACCATCATTAACCATCATTAACCATCATGAACCATCATTAACCATCATTAACCATCATTAACCATCATTAACCATCATGAACCATCATGAACCATCATGAACCATCATTAACCATCATTAACCATCATTAACCATCATTAACCATCATTAACCATCATTAACCATCAACAATGGGGATTTACAGTGGATTTTCATGGGAATGGTGGAAAATTGAAGGATTTCTCGAGTCTTGTCAACAATCATCACTAGTTTTTGCAGACTGTTGTAATATATGAATGTGTCCCAGCATATTATTATTATTATTAATGGACCAGCAATTATAGTGAGTTGGTGGATACATGAGTGTCCCAGGAGATTATATAGCATTATTAGTGAAAGTGATGAAGATATTCTAATATAGTATCATAGTGGATGTTATATTTTACTATGTTATGTATATATATATATGTATATTACACATCATATTATATATATATGATATATACATACATTGTATATATATATATATCATACACACACATATGTATATATGTATAACATTATACTCATATATTATATACCTATATATATATACACTGCATGTTATGTTGATATTCTCATAGTGATATGAGTCCACCTCAAAACGGTCGTTCCAAAAAGTGCCTGTTAAGACGCGGCAGGCGCGTGTCTGTGCTGCGCATCAATGTCTTGGGAGTGCCCTGGCGTGCCGTTGGTTCTGGGGGTCGCAGATGTCGTTTTTTTGGATATTCATTACCCATAGGATCCATGTATGCTATATATGGTAACATTTACCATCAATATACCCCCAATGTTAGCATATATACCATACATGGATCCGATGGGTTATCTACAAATATCTAGAACTAGCTAGAACGTATTAGACGGATGTTCCAAAAGACATCTAGAAATATCTAGAACTAGATATTCAATGATATTCACCAACAAAAATTACCTCCCAATTGACTAACGCATCCCATGTCACTCCTTTGGGGTGTCTTGTCACCTCATGCTGTCCCACTACCACCGAGGTGTTGGGTCTTCTGGTTCCTTGGCTGAAAAAAAAGGGGGCCCGAAACCAGCACGGTCGCGCCTAGTGAAACCTGTGACTGAAGTGGATTCGAGAAACCATCTCTAAATGGATCTAAATGGCAATTTTCATAGGTATCGGTGCAGCTGAAACTAGATGTTTATAATCATGCAATCTGTGTTTTCAAGGTGTCCACTTTAGGCGTTATTTACATGACAGAGTTATACATGATGGCAAAACTAAAGACCGCAAGAAAGGGATAGATAATCGTCTCAAGTACAGGTAATATAGACTCTGCTACTACTCAAAAATTGGGATTTACTACCACCCCTCTATCCTTCTTGAACAAATAATGTTTCTTGGATTTTCCAAACTTGGAGTACTCCCCTCTCCTCATAATTTGAGGTAATTACCGATAATAATTACCCCTACAACAAAGTGGTTTAATGCTAGATTCATGTTGGGGTCCATGAAGCTTAAACAGTTTTGGGAGCTGGGACAGAATAGTCTCATAGTCTCATTATATCCATGTATATCTATAGTATATTGCATTATCTCCTGCATTTTTCCGGCTTATCACACCCAATTTCCGCATTCATGGCTTCAATGACCTATTCTTCCCCCAATTTTTGTCGATTCTATTCAATTTTCGGAATTCAGAATATCATTACCATATCACCATAGTCATTTTTTTGGGGTTGTTTATATTCCAAGGGAAGGGATTCACCATATAAAGTGGCGAGGCCATCGTTGGCGCCGTCGCTTGGGCTGCCTGGCAATTCTTCCATCCATCAGTGACGGAGGAGGTGGGGAAAAGCGAATCGGGGCGGTTGCGCCTTCAGGAAACACACCGGAGGTTGCAACTGGAGAGGGCTTCAACTCCATTATGCATCATGTATTGTATACATATATAATATATAATATATATACTATAATATATATAATATAATATATATATAACATAATAATATATATATATATATATATATCATATAAATATAATATATATATATAATAAATCTAAATAATATATGTATACACATACATGCACATACATACATAATGACATGTATTTTTTGGTAAACTCTGGACTGTCTGTATTTGTTGCAGTTTTTGGATTCCCATCCTTCGCCACTGCCGCGTCCAGCTGCCGCGTCCAGGCACAAAATTTGCCCCTCTACAGCCTGAGAGGTGAAGCCAAATGAGGTGACGGAAGTCTGTCAAATCTTATAATGTGGGTAAAACAATGCCATAAACCACCCATGACTGGGAATGGTTGAAACCACCTATCAAAATTGTGATGACTGGGGGATGTTATATGATTGTTTTAACTACATTAGTGGGATTTAAATGGATTCAATGGATGATTTAAGGTGTTTTGAAGCATGATCAACAGGGATTAATAGGGTGTATGAATATAGGATTTAATGGATTTCATGGCTATGGAATGGAACTTCCAATGGGATACCGATGGGAAAAAATGGTTAAAGGGGTATGCTGGGACATCCCAGCATTCACTGTTGCTGTTATTGTTTTCTTGTTGATCTTCAAAGTTGATTTGTTTACCTTACCTGTGATGTTCTATGTGATGGAGATTTTGGATTTTTGTTTCTGCCCCGAACTTTCAATGTCGAAGTTTGGATTAGATAAGCGGGTCCTTTTTTTTTGAGGTGAATGTTTGGTGGAACTGTGAATGTGTCCAACTAAGAGCCAACTCTCCGGCAACAGGACACGTGCTGCCGTGAAGTGTTGGAAAAGATGCTGGGTTTAGGGTGGTAGCTTGAGTTCCAGCTCAATGTCTGGATGGTTCGATGGATTGGTGGAATACCATGGAACTATGTGGAACTACTTCGATAGATAGCTGAAATCAGAGACTTGGTCGCTTGCAGATTTGAATTGCATCATGGCATCATGCATACTTTTCACAATGCATACGTTGCTGGGAAAATGTATGTTTACAGCACATTCGTACCAGATTCTGCTAGTCTGCTTCATGAATGTATGGGGGTCGGAGTGACCGACAAGTAAGGTGATAGCCAATGAACTTTCTCAGATGTAGCTGATATACCCAGTGAACATGTCGATATTGCTATGTCTCAAACTTGATTCACCCTAGATAGAAATCTTCGGATTCCTGGGGTCTTTGCCTTTTAGCAACAACTCTATATAAAAAAAACAACAACAGAACATGGTAGCATCACTTTCTAGCCCAGGAGGGACACATTGTTGAGTACGAATGCACTTTATCAAACCAACCAATGCCTACCTGGCCATAGCTGGATTCCAGACCTCCAGAGCAACAGAACCCCAAGGGGCCACCAACAGTTGCTGGTCAACTTTTTTGTGCCATCTTGGAGTGTCCTAGGAAAATGTGGTGCAGGCTGTACACTTTGGCAATCTATCCTGAAAAAGCGAAACTCAATGAAGATCCTTTTTTGCATTCATTGATGGCTGATTTTTGTTGATAAACTTGGCCAGATTTCCATGTGGCCATGTTTGATTGTGAGAGGGTAGTCGGAAAACATCTCTACAGGACCAGGAGCGATTCACCCGGGGCAAGGTCCATGGCGCGATACCTGGTGCTCTGCTTCAAGCTGTAGGATAGGATATTTGTTGGTGCCAAAACAGATGCCAAATGATTCCAGGAGATCATATCATGAGATGATGTCAGATTCCCCAGCTTGGAATTTCTGCATGTGTGCATTCTGTTTGCGTCAGATTACTGTATGCTATTTTGTTTCTTGGCAGGCGGATTTGCACATGGTTTCTGAACAAACAACTCCATAAATTGTTAAAATGCCTCCTGGGCAAGTAAAACCATGTGACGCCAAAAAGCTTGCGAGCAGCTGTGCAACCGCTTCCGTCATCCCAATATCACAAGCACAAATACACACACATGGATACATATGGAATTTTGGATGCCTCCAGTTGACAGTTAGTCCTTTTGAAGCGCACCCGTACAGTGCTTAGTTGCGCCGCACCGCGTCCATGGAAGAATGGCGACGGCAATTTCCATTGCGGGCGCACGGCTGTCGCTTGCTCAATCAATTTGGCCAGTGACTTGGAGGGCATTTCAACTTGACAGCGGAAAGGACAAGCCGTTAATGAGTGATTAACATTGATGTTGACATTATTAATGATGGTTGATTCCCATTTACTAACATTAACCTACATTAACATTCATTGATTAACAAGTCGTTGATTCCCACTTATTGACATTCATTAGCATTGCATCACATTGGTCCCATGGTGAATCCGCTTGTCTCTTTTGCAGATCTCCGAACTTATGAGCTCGGGCTGGGTTGAAACACGAACTTGTAGATTCTGGCTGGTGGTTTGGAACATGGCTTTTATGACTTTCCATTCAGTTGGGAAGTTCAAACTTGTAGAACCCCCGTTTGGCTTAAGACTGCTTTTACCGTTTTGGTGCAGGAGGGGGGGGGGTATTGGTGCACGGCTGGTGCGCGGAAAAGGAAAATAGGGGCAAGGGTGGGTCTGGGAAGGGAAAAATAGGTGCGGGAGTGGGTTCTTGCCAATCTATGGATCCAGTCAGGATCCCGTCGGGACCCAGTCGGGCACCAATTTTTGCATTTTTGGGCACCGCTTTTGGCCAGTCGGGATCCAGTCGGGATCCAGTCGGGATCCAGTCGGGCAAATGTCGGGAGGCAGCCAAATTCATAAAAAATAGCATTTTTGCAGTGTTTTTGCATGTTTTTCGGTGATTTTGGCTGCTTCCCGACAGGTCCAAACGTGGTGCCAAAAATTCGAAAATTGGTGCCCGACTGGATCCCGACTGGATCCCGACTGGATCCCGACTGGCCAAAAGCGGTGCCCAAAAATGCAAAAATTGGTGCCCGATTGGGTCCCGACTGGGTCCCGACTGGGTCCCGACTGGATCCCGACCCGGTTTCTTCAAAAAAACACCTATTTCCTTAAATTTGAGCACCTATTTTTGAAATTTTAGCACCTTGCCGTGCACCACCCCCCCCCCCCCCCACCACCAGTCTTAAGCCAAACACGGGCTTGGCAATTCATAACCCCAAGTGTTACTCACTCCATCATTTTTCAGAGGGGTAGGTATACAAACCACCAACCAGGATTGGCTCATGGTTCCACGGTGCTGAGGCATTTTAAGTTGGCGGGCGTCAACTGGTATGGAGCCTCCGACTCCTTCCATGTCGTGACTGGGCCTGGATCCATTGGCGCCAACTGTGAGCCCAAGCCATCCATAGAATTCTGGCACGGTCCCCCTACAGGATCAAAAGGTGCAACAAATGCACCACGTTATCATGTTCAGAATGAATATATTGAATACAGCTTAGAAAGCTTAGACAGTGAATTTAGGGCAGCCTTCATTGTCTGGGTTATCAATTGGACAGTGACAGTGTCCCAAAAGTGCGGAAACCATCAAAACGAACTCGTGACATCTTTTGACAACTGCCCCAACTATCCCCAACTCAGAACTGGATTAAGCAAAAAAAATACTTTGGACATCTTTAGACATCGTTTTGAGATGTTTTGAGTGGTTTACCTCCAGTTTTGCCCATCCTTTTCAGTGGGGTTTCCTCCAGCTAAACCTCCGATTTGGGAGGTCGGTGGGCTTGATGCCCGTCCTTTATCGGCAGCTGGGCTGTAAACTTGTCCAGCTTTCGAGCGACCGGTCGAAGATATTGGTTTAAGATGAGAAAATGTTTTTTTTCCTGGAAATCTTCATAATTATGCAGCTATTTTGCTCTATTTTGGCTGGACCAGAGTTTCACAGTTCGACACTTGCGCTTGAACCTGTTTTTTGATGTTTGATAAAGTGAAAGTGGATTCCTCAAGTAGTCTATTTTTTAGCAACAGCACATCACCTATTTGTGGATGATTTACCCACATGGTCATTTAGGCTCTACATGGCCAGAATTGATCAGCCGGGATAGCTGTGAAGGTGCCAAGGTAGGTTCACTGCTGCGGAACTGAAAATGGATCCCTCCGTGCCACTAAGCATGTGTGATGAAGCCTATATGAATTGAAAGACGCAATCGTGAAACTGTAAAAGCTGCTTGAAATGCTGAGAAAGAGATAGATAGAGATAGACATGCTCGGGGGTCCATGGGGGTCCTAAGCTGCTCACAATCCCTCAAAATCATCCAGTGTGCCTCAAAACCAATATGATTCCGATAGGTCCATCGCAAAAGCACCAAGCCTTCAAGATCTTTCAAGTATTTCTTGGAAGTTTACCATATTTTACCCCATGCAAAAGTGCATAGATGTTTAGCACCCAACCCACCACCGGCCCCGGCCCAAGGAGCTGTGCCACGCCGTAGCCGCCATGGGCTTCACCGTGGTGCGCCTGCCCTTTTCCTCCGAGATGCTCAGGGTGGAGCGGGTGCCGCCAGGTGGGGCTGGCCTGTTGTGGGATGCTCCTAGGAGGTTCTAACCCATAGGATCCATGGTGCTGGTATATATGCTAACATAAAGGGGGTATAATGATGGGATCCATGTTACCATATATTATAGCATACATGGATCCTATGGGTAAGATCCTCATAAATCCTCTAGAAGATGCTTCATGATGCACAAGAAGATCTTGTGAGCGTCGTTTTTGAAGCATTGTTTGGGGAGTCTCTTCCCAAGCTACAGCTTGTTTTTGTTATTACCTGTCGATGGTGGATGTCCGTTGCCATGATTCAATGATTGCTTGCCAGAGGTTAGATGTTGGATAAGTTTTATTGTTGTTGAAGATTATGTATGATCTACCAACAATAAAACTTTGATATTGATGTTGGCTAAGGTTATCTCCTGATATTGTTTAATCTATTTCGGTGTTGTTTTTTTTTCCCACCAGGAGATTTAAGGAGTGGAAACTACGGATGGCATTTGATGGCCATTTCCCAGTGTAAGGAACTGTCTTCAAACTGATAAGCAAACATGGAAATGGAAAATCTCCCTGTTAGGATCTGTCACTGGTTTGTGGTTTGGAACATTTTTTATTTTTCCATATATTGGGAAGTTCATAACCCCAACTGACGAACTCATATTTTTCAGAGGGGTAGGTATACAAACCACCAACCAGGACCAGGTCATATCCTCCGCATGGCAGGTGCCATCGACTATGTTCAGAACAAAGATTTGGAAGGACTGTCACCTTTGCAGGCCCCAATTGCAGCAGTTTGCAGAAAAATTCTGTAGCCACAGAACTCTGCGCATTTCAAGTAATATCATGATATATCCTAGAAGAACCTTTGAGCACATTTTTCTGCCCTCGGCGCCTAGGCAGCCGCATAGGCACTTTCACCCGGAAGTTTGCAAAACTCGGCAGATTTATATTGATGTAGGCATTTTTATCTCAAGATGTTTTTTGTGCTCCGACTCCGACATCATTTTGCGCCTAAGCATTTTTACCCGGAAGTTAGGCGGAAAAACCTGGAATCTAGGCGGAAAAAAGCGGAATTTGGCAGAATTTTGTTCGAAACATTTTTCTGCACTGAACAACATGACAAGACCATGCAAAAAAATATCAGCCTCGGCTTTTTTTTTGGGCCTATAGGCATTTATTCTTGGAATCGGCAGAAATAAACGCCTACAGGCAGGTTAGGCATTTTTTTCTGCCTAGAGGAGTTTGTAGGTATTTAAAGGCTTTGCATTTACTTATTGTGCACTAGTGACTATAGTGTTGTTCTGTGCCATTTTTTGCATTTTACTTGTCAAGAGATCCCGAAACCAGAAACATCAAAAAAGACACCGCTACATTGCACATGCAAGCATATACGGGCCATCACACAAACCCTGACCCTCAGATTGGGCTGCCCAACTCGAACACCACATTGAATGCTGCTAAGCCTTCGGTTTGTCAGGGACTATCCGATTAGATGAAATGCTTGTAGTATGCCCAATGAACGGCTTATGTTCGACATGGTACAAAGTGGATCAAAGTGGGTGATCCTGATATGTAATACTCGTAGTATAGTCATTCGAGATTGGAGATTGGGATAGATTGGGTAGGTTCTACCTGCATTTGTGGTACGTACTTCATACATACAACTCTTTACTTGACCTCGGTTGTCTGTTGGTAGCCCTTCAGAGGAACGGACAAAAAGTGAGATCACGTTCAAACCAGTATGGGTTGGCCCATTGTGAATGGCTAGGCTCCCATTGCCCATCTAGTGCACTTTTCAGATGTGAGTCAAATCCATGGTACTTGGTTGAACTCTAAAATAGCTGGCGAATCGATATTATTGTTCCTTTTTGTGCCCCCAGATACAGGAAAGTATAGGGTTTGATGAATTCCATTAATCCCCATCGAAAAAATATATTAGCAACTATCATTTATCCCCATTGGATTAGTTTATCCATTATTTGCTTAATCAAATTAGCAAAGATACGGTGGATGGTTGCGAAATCCTGCACTAGTTGAAAACGGTGGTAAACATCCCATTATTTATAGGGTTTCAAATGTTTCAAGCATCCGTGTGGTGATGCAGGATTTCGCAACCATCCACAGTATCAAATCCCATGGAAATTCCCCATGTTTCACTGCAGATCTCCACCCTACGGCCATACCTTCGTATCCATTCGTCAGGTCTACGATCGCGTGATCGAAGAATTGGGAGCTGCTGGGGTCACAGTGGCTGGGCGAATGATTTTTTAACATCCAGCATCCCCAAGGTTGCTGTAGGTTGTATGAACCAGTATAACCATTATAAATGTGTCTTAACCATTTAACCATTATAATTAACCATTATATATACATGGATCATGGGTTGTATTAACCAAGAAATGAATTACTTTTTTGGTGATTTATTGTTACTTTTCTAACACTACAGTCATTTGGTTAGTGAACTGATATAATTCAGCCAGAGTCCCCGAAAAGATGTCGAAAAGTGGGAAACCTGGAACTATAGAGTACATTAGAATCTGCTAGTTCTCATCCTGGAAACACTTTTCAGCATCTTGTTAGGGGTTGCTCATGAATCTTGTTCGTTAACTGGTTACTTGGTTAACTCATGGGGTTTCTCACATGTGTATTGCCTTGTTGGGGGATGGACCGGTATATAGTGACTAATTTGAATCTGAAAATGGGGCAACCCTCAATTCCAAATGACGGTCTTCAGTTTTCCCACTAAGATTGCCATGTTGGGGTATACCCTTTTGCCCGCTATACCCCATGTTTGAAACACCAAAGTGTTCAATGGACCAGGCACATATTCCAAGTATATTCCAATCCCTCCGATTGTTGGTGATACCCCTATATGTTTGATTTTGTTTGATGGTTCACCTCCCATTTTCTTGGCAACCAAAACCTTATATACAGTATTTGATTGGTGGTTTGGAACATGAATTTAATTTTTCCATATATTGGGAATCATCATCCCAACTGACGAACTCATATTTTACAGATGGGTAGGTATACCACCAACCAGGTATATACATATATATAATATTTATGATATAGAAGTAGTGATTCCCATGAATTTTCAAGGGACTAAGCAAATCATCAGTCGTTGTTAAATCATTGAATCCCATGTAACTCCATTAAATCCCAATTTGTGTTGCTTAGATTCCATCAAATCATCATTCTGGATCATTGTAAATGGGGGTATTCCAATGATATTCCAAAGATACTCCAATTAATGGTTGGCAAATGTCGGTCAATCTGTTTGTTCGTTAAATCCCACAATATAACTGACCCCATCATGATGATGGTTAACTTCCATTAATTCTCAAGGAACGTTGTAAATCATTATTCAGTTTTCATTATAAATTGAGTTATTCCCACGATATTCCCCAAAAAAAGGTTGCTTCCAATGATATTCCAGAAAATCGTTGGTTTATTTAAAACTCATCATTCAGATCGTTCAGTTCTTGACCCCCAGGTGAATCATCATTCCAATGACATTCGGGTGTGTCTGAAAATAGGGTATACGGTATAGCCTTGAAATGGCCATCAAGCACTGAGAGCATGTATATCATAACTATTAGCTAGTGTACTGTATTTGTTTTTTTTTCCCCAACCTTATTTTCTGGTTGATTTAGCCCATATTCCTATGATCTTCCAGTGAAATCAACCAGGTTGATCATCAAAAATCATCCAAAATCCTCCTTCAGTTCATAGATTCCCAGGATACCTCATGCCCATCAGATTCCCATGGTCTTCAAAGGGGGACTAACCCTGGCCAACCACCAACCACCCCCATGCGGACGGAGGTCATCATCAACAACCACACCACCGTGGGCGCCTGGAGTGGCGGCGTGGAACTCAACGGCATGTGGTTCCGTGCCTCGGCGGCGTGGATTTTTCAGCCACGAACAGTGGGGCCCGTGTGATGGAAAAATTGATCCAAGTCACATGCAAATTGAATGACTTACCATCTGGTTATTTAACATAGCCATGGAAAATCCCAACCATAAATGGAGGTTTCTAGCTGGGAAAATCATCTATTTCTATGGGCCATTTTCCATGGCTATGTTAAATATCCCCCATGTATAGCTCACTATAAAGTGGACATCCTTTGCGCTTATAAAGTGGGTTTCCGGTCGCCACTTTATATACCGACAATGGGGGATAAAGCCGTGTTTTGCGCGAGAAACATGCCCTTGGACCTGGAAGATGACTTTATAGCAACGTTGGCTTTCCAGTTTATACCCGGCTGGTTCCCCACAAGGAAACGACTCAATATATGCGGCAATGCATTTTATAGACCGTTGGTTCCCTTCAAAGAATGGCCATAATATGTCACACCATCCACTTTATAGAAACATGTCTCCCCAATGATTTCGGGCCAATATCTTTCTGTTGGGGCTGTATACATGGCAAAGCACTTTATAGAGTGAAACTTGCCCTTTAAGAAGAAGAATTTGTGCTGCATCCAGGGCACTTTATAGAAAGAAAATTGCGGCAGAGCATTTTATAGAGTCATGAGATACATCACCCAAATCACTTTATAGAGCTGCCCAGGACCCCATTCACCCTGAGGACCCCTTTCAAGGGAAATCTTCTTCTCTATAAAGTGGCCAGTCCAGGTAAAACTCCTGAAAAAACAGAATCTATGTTGGACTGGCCACTTTATACCCCCTCCCCCAACAGAGAATGCCTCTATAAAGTGGCCAGTCCAGGTAAAACCCCTGAAAAAACAGAATCTATGTTGGACTGGCCACTTTATACCCCCTCCCCCAACAGAGAATGCCTCTATAAAGTGGCCAGTCCAGGTAAAACCCCTGAAAAAACAGAATCTATGTTGGACTGGCCACTTTATACCCCCTCCCCCAACAGAGAATGCCTCTATAAAGTGGCCAGTCCAGGTAAAACCCCTGAAAAAACACATTTTTACCTGGAATGGCCACTTTATACCCCCTCCCCCAACAGAGAATGCCTCTATAAAGTGGCCAGTCCAGGTAAAACCCCTGAAAAAACAGAATCTATGTTGGACTGGCCACTTTATACCCCCTCCCCCAACAGAGAATGCCTCTATAAAGTGGCCAGTCCAGGTAAAACCCCTGAAAAAACAGAATCTATGTTGGACTGGCCACTTTATACACCCTCCCCCAACAGAGAATGCCTCTATAAAGTGGCCAGTCCAGGTAAAACCCCTGAAAAAACACATTTTTACCTGGAATGGCCACTTTATACCCCAGCCAGTGGGCTCCAGGACTTTGACCCGGAAACGGAAGGACTGACAACAAGGTAAAGGGGGAAAACTACAACGGAGAGGTACAACGGGAAGGCTACCACAAGAAAATGAGACATGTCACGTTTATATACGTTTATTGTTTTCAATGTGTCATATAGATTGGCGATGATTGGTATATTGAATATGTTGTAGATGTATTTTGGAACATATGTATACCTATGATTCACACATCAATATAAATATATATAAATCATAAACACATGCCAAACCAAAAACTTTTAGCTGAGTATTGTATTCCCAATCTGTTGGCAAATGTCCAGCCGATTCACCATGCGTGACCCAACAAGATTCAAACTATGGATTGTTTACTTTTGAAAAAAAATACTGGGTGAATCTACGTATATCTATGACGACAATCTCCCAAAATCATCCTAAAAATCTATGGACATCTATGGACCAAAACCACGGCCACATGCCCATCCTCTATAAAATGGTTTGCAAGAAAGTTCAGCTCTATAAAGTGGCTTGATCACGTCATTTCTGGCAGCCCCACCCTCTGTATAAACTGGCCGGTCCATGCCCATCCTCTATAAAATTGTTTGCAAGAACCAGTAAAAAAATATTTTCGAAAGTAAACAATCCATAGTTTGAATCTTGTTGGGTCACGCATGGTGAATCGGCTGGACATTTGCCAACAGATTGGGAATACAATACTCAGCTAAAAGTTTTTGGTTTGGCATGTGTTTATGATTTATATATATTTATATTGATGTGTGAATCATAGGTATACATATGTTCCAAAATACATCTACAACATATTCAATATACCAATCATCGCCAATCTATATGACACATTGAAAACAATAAACGTATATAAACGTGACATGTCTCATTTTCTTGTGGTAGCCTTCCCGTTGTACCTCTCCGTTGTAGTTTTCCCCCTTTACCTTGTTGTCAGCCCTTCCGTTTCCGGGTCAAAGTCCTGGAGCCCACTGGCTGGGGTATAAAGTGGCCATTCCAGGTAAAAATGTGTTTTTTCAGGGGTTTTACCTGGACCACTTTATAGAGGCATTCTCTGTTGGGGGAGGGGGTATAAAGTGGCCAGTCCAACATAGATTCTGTTTTTTCAGGGGTTTTACCTGGACTGGCCACTTTATAGAGAAGAAGATTTCCCTTGAAAAATTCCTCAGGGTGAATGGGGTCCTGGGCGCGCCGCGCGCGCGCGCGCGCCAAAAAGGTGTCAAAATTGGAGCCATTTTGGCGCGCGCGCGCGCCCGCGCGCGCGGCGCGACCAGGACCCCTTTCACCCCAAGGACCCCTTTCAAAGGAAAGTGTGTTAGAGATATTCTCTGTTGGGGGAGGGTATAAAGTGGCCAGTCCAACATAGATTTGGTTTTACCATAGATTCTGTTAACGAGTTCGATATAGATATTTGTCTGGCTGTCGGTTTCGTTCGGTTTCGAAGTCATTCGAAGTCTTTTGGGTTCCCCATCGATGAGATCGATGATATTCCCCCAAGGTTTGAACGTGGCCCCTCAACTTTATCGATGCTGCCATCGTCGCGATTAAGAAAATCATCGCTACTACAACGATCGTTGTTTAGCCGGAAATCCACATTATAGTGCCACTGTTCTGCACAAGTATTACTATCTGGATGTTCGGCATCTCACTTTATAGTCATGGGACATGTTCACAAGTACCCTCAAAAACCTGCATCGAGTTTTATGTTTTTACGCGGCCAGGCGACTTTATACAAACGTTGGATTTTGACTTTATAGACAAAACATGTTGGCTTTCCACTTTATAGACTCCAGACATGTGGCCATTCCAGTTTATACCAGGCTATTCTCTATAAAGTCGGCCGCAAAGCATCTAGCGGGCTATACATGGGGGATTGTTAAATAACCAGAGTGTAATGTGATTGGAACCTTGCCTTTGATGCTTCTCAGGACGGTTTTTTGGCGCCTTTCATGTCGAATCAGATTGAATCATCGAATCCATTTGAAAGAGGTGATCCATTTGGAACTTTCGCATCTGAAATTGAGGCCATCAAAAAAGTGGGGATCGGTTTTGGAATTCCGCTTTTGGTCGTCTATTCTGGGTGGTTTAGTCCTTGGAATTCCGAAAAATGGCTGACTTTGGCCATGGATTACCAGTGATTGTCCAGCTCCAGCGGGGTCACATCGGGATGTAGGTGATCAGTGCAAAGTGTACACGGAGCAGTCGTGGATTGATGACACTGGGTGGTGAGAGTCGGAGCCTGGTGTTTGGATGTGGACGATGGGTTAGCATGGGTGTTTCCTCCTGAAAGATAGTACGGTTAAGTGCACTTTTATATATAGGCTTCGGACTTTTGGACGATGGGTTTCCTACAAACTTATAATGTCATATTTTTGGGGGATGAACATCCATTCAGCAGCTTTTTGGTGTTGTACCGGGATTCAAAACCGTTTGGTTTTGACCCATACCCATGTCACGGTAGTGCAGAAGAGGGACAGGAGCAGAGTGAAAAGGAGAGAGTCACAACAAGTCACAACCAACATTTGAGATCCGTGGATTTCCGGGCTCCTTCAATTTTCACACGTGAGATTTTTGGTGGGTGTTAACTTCTGTTAACATATCTCCAAATAACGATATTCCTGACATATTTTGCTTGTAGAGAAGACACACGCAATTCATAAACCTGTTAAGTTCTTGAAAGGTTTGGCAGCTTTCGGTGGTGAAATCAGCCCGGTCTCCTATCCTTGGACCGGCAGGTTTCTGCCATTTCCAGGATTGGGTCATGATGGCGAAGCGCTATGAAGATCATCCTGAAGTGATTGGCTACGACATCCGAAACGAGGCACCGTTGTTGTTGTTCCCCTGGGAATGACCAGGTACATCCTGGAAAGCTGGGTGGTTTTGTCAACATAGGCTGGTTTTCCCCCAAAAGAATATTCCAATATGGACATGGACTGGGTGTTTTTTTCTGAGTGGCTCCAATGGTCTTTCGGTAGACTTAGTTGCAATGACATGAAAGTGGCCAGGCGACACATCCATGATTTCATGGTGGATCTTCCAGTCATGCTCTAGCTGATGACTTCAATAATGTTTTTAGGACAAGTTTCAGCGAACTGTTTGGAACATGGGTTTGTCTGATTTTTTTGGTGGGGAACGAAAGACTCAACTTTGAGTACTTTAGAAAATCATTTGCCCCATTATTTGATGGGCCATTTGAAGGTATATAATCGTATATAGCCTATTTTCAGACACCCCCAAATCATTTTAAGTTATATATATATATATATCGGAAATTAGCCCCCAAAATATCCCATTCCCATGTTTGTTGGTAAAATATCAGAGAGCATGTTTTCTGATGATCAGAATCTACGGCTTCAGCGGGCTTTGGACTTTTTCAGGTGCGGCCAACCAGCATGATGGGCCCCAGCCCGCGCTGGGGCAACAGCAGCCCGGTCTACGACTGGAGTCGCGCTGCTGGGAGTTGCACCCTGGTGGAAGGAGATTCCTCAATGGGGATGGAAGGAGAAGGTTGGGGAACCAGAAGATGGAGACGAAATCCTTATTTTTGCAACTGGTTCACCAGAATTCAGAACTATTTTTTGGAAATCTTGGGGCAAAGTTGATGAGAGTGGTTCAATTTTTGTGAAGATTTTGGGATTAACCAGTAAGTTGTAATGGGATATTCGTGGGAAAATTATGTATAGATGGTGATATAATGGGCACAAAAAGGATGGTATAGACATAGATGTTGTTTTCAAATTGATCTATCGGTTCATGTGGGGATGAACATTGAACATGAAAGTACAGTAGTAGCTATTTATCAGGATTTTGACTCATACCTAGATATAGGCAAACATGTCCAAGCTCCAAACATATGGGGCCAACAAATACTCAAATTTTGTTGGCAGATATCCATAGATATCCCAAATGCGGTCATGTTTACCATTTGCCCCATCTTGTAAATTCAGTAGTCCTGAATACTCTTAAGCGACTTCCATTTAGTTTGGTCTTAATATTGGGACAAACATGATCATAAACCATAGGACTTTGAAACAGCCCGGTTTGGACTTCATTGTGTTCTTAGTCTTATTCATAGAACTTGACTTTTGAATATTGGTGGAACTTCCTGCCTATAAACTACAGCTCAGATGGTTATGCTTGCTTGGTGGTGCATACAATCCAGCCCGTGAAATGTGCTTCTGAAACTTTTTTTTCTGTCATCATTAACCATCATTAACCATCATTAACCATCATTAACCATCATTAACCATCATTAACCATCATTAACCATCATGAACCATCATTAACCATCATTAACCATCAACAATGGGGATTTACAGTGGATTTTCATGGGAATGGCATGTTTTTTTCAGCAGAACAATCAACCAGCTGGGATTTTCCAGCCGCTGTCAACAATCCTCCATGGCTGAAATGATGATCCCCAATCCCCAATCGAATCTATTCATGAATATTAGGATTATATGTGTATATATATATATACATATTATTGTGATCCCCAATCTTTGATGAATATTGGGATCATTTTTGTTATTTTATGATTGATATACATATATATATATGTAGGTGATTATATATATATAGGTTATAGATGATGATTGCTAATCCCCAATGATATATCGCCTATGATCATCAGAATTTAATGAATTATAATCATATATCTCTATCATATAATAATTATCATCATAATAATAAGTGATTATATATATATATATCATTGGGCATTATTATAGTAATTATCCATATCATAATAGGTGATCCAGTATCCATATAATGCTGATTATCACTATTACATCATCATGAAAACCATAGCAACATATCATTTATAACATATCAATCGCTATAATAACTATAAATATCATGTTCACTTATCGTTCACTTATCACTATATATTAATAATAGTTACTACTCAATAAAATATTTTATTGATATGATTATATATATATATATCAATAATATCAATAACTATATCTATGACATATTATAATTATCCATATCAATCACTATAATATTGGATCACTGATGAGGGCTTCCCCAATCTCCGAGGTGCCCGTGCCTTGATGGATGCGAATGCTCCTGGTCTCGTGGTCGCTTGATCCAACGTTTCACATGTCATAAATGTTATAAGATGATGATAGATTATGAATATAAATATATACATATTGCATGTACTACATCTACTAATATCTATATATATATATTGCATGTACTACAAATCTACTACCTTTGAGAATCCTCCCAGAACTATAGTAAGTATGGCTACCTCACAGATAAAGCGGTCATCTCCATATTTTGATGTGGTTTGCCACAGCTGAAGATGACGCCCTGAAAAGCTCAGGTAGTTGAACGTATCGCGTGGCCTCAAAATAGCCTACGGGTTCCTTGACGGCACGGCTGGCACACTTTCTGATTTATTTTTGAGCAAAAGACATTGCAAGCCACTGGCATATTGTTGTTTTTTGCCAATAAAGTTTCAAACACAATGGCTTATATATAACTATATATAACTATATTTTATAATGTTTGATATGGGATCATATAAGAACCTAAATGTTCACCACATTTTTGGGTGGCTCAGGAGATGTTGAATCCAAAGCCTCCCTGGGAAGCATGGCAAGTGCCACGAGATCGGATTGTCTCTTGGATCAAGGATTGATTTGCACGAAAAAATATGACGAATAAATATAATATATATATATAAGATTATATAAGTATATTCTGTATATATAAAGCATATTCTAAAATATTCAAAATATAAAGTACAGTACATTCTAAGATATTATATTAATGTGTGTATATATATATACATACGGTAACGGCATTTACATATGTGCAGGGCGGGCCAGACCGCGAGGCCCAGGGAGTAGTATAAAATACCAGTTTGTATATTTAAATGTAGTTAACATATGTTTATATAAATGAATTGGATTCCGTATGTTTAAATGGCCCGGCCAGCCAAGGAAAACCTTTCTGGACGTAGTCTAAATACCTGTTCGTATATTTTAAAATCCGTATATTTAAATGTAGTTACCGTATATGTCCCTGTGTATGTATATATGTACAGTATTATATATATATACTATATATATATATATACAGTGTATATATATACTGTATATATATATATATATTTCCGATATTATATATATATATATAGTTATGTAGTGCATGTAAGAACCAAACAAGATATTTTTGCATCATATCATTCGGGGTATCCATGGGCTTCCTGTTCGCCGAAACCTCGTCATTTGGATTGGAACAGAGGGCATTGTGATGACGCCATGAGCCCTACTGAGGTGCTAGCCGTGCACATGTATGTCTCTTGTCATGCCAGGGCAGCAAACCAGGAAATCAATTCGATACATGGCGCCATGGTGCTTGTTCTGGGAGAGAAATAGAACAGAACTTTTGGGTTTCAACAATGTAACCAACATCAGCTAATTGGAGCATGGCAAAACGACTTCATATTGTCATTTGCAAACTACAACCTTGTAGAGTTCAAGTTTCTATGGCAAGGTTTCTACAGCCAACTTGGTGGGGTGGAGATGGCAGGGACCACCGACAACTGAGGGTGATTACTTTAGATTTGACTCCCATTTGGTGTGACTGGCCAACTTCCAAAATTCTACACATCTTGAAGATGATTTTCCTATTGATATCGTCCCAGTTTCAAGGTGGAAGATGTTAGTTTTCAGGGCTGCAAGCGGCGGTTCAATCTCCCCATGTTGGCTAAGTCCCATCTTTGGTCAAATCACCATTTTCGCTGGTCAAATGCCCCATTTCTGATGCTGAAATCCCATCTTTATGTGGCAAAAAATCATGATGTTGGCTGAGTTGGCTGATGAAATTCCTATTTCTGATGTTAAATTTCACATTTTCGCTGGTAAAACCATGTAGAGTCCCTTGTGTTTGAAACCTCAGCCATGCTGATGAAACGAATCTCCAGATCGAGGCTTGGAGTGGCCCGGGTGCCTGGAGTCCCAAGCATTTCATGCCAGGCGGCAGGGCATCACTGATGAACTCGATTGCCATCTATCAATAGTATTGTATATATATATATACGAATGTATATTGCATCCCTGATTGCATCACTAATTGTGTATGATGATGATGATGATGATGATGATGATGATGATGATGATGACGGTGATGGTGATGGTGATGGTGATGGTGATGGTGATGGTGATGGTGATGATGGTGGTGGTGATGTTTTTTTGGTGATGGTGATGATGGTGATGACGGTGATGATGGTGATGATGGCGATGATGGCGATGATGGTGGTGATGTTTTTTTGGTGATAGCAATGGCAATGGCAATGATGATGATGATGATGATGGTGATGATGATGATGATGGTGGTGGTGATGGTGGTGTTGTTGGTGGTCATGATGTTCATGATGGTGATGATGATGGAAATGGAGATGGAGATTGTGATGGTGACTATGATGGTGATGATGATGATGGCGTTGTTGATGATGGTGATGATGGTGATGGTGATGATGAAGATGGGGATTGAAATGGAGATGGATGGATTTTCCAGTGGAGTGTTGAGAGGTGACTCTTGATTCACGCGTTTGGGTGCCAGCGACAACGCTATCATGCTTTTGTTTTTATCCTAGGTGGTGCACGGGCAATTCTCACATGTCCTGGGTCATGTTGGATAGAAACCACTTTGAAATGGCTGTGGTTTACTTTTTAACCATCCATGGGGCTCGCTGCTCGGAGTTGGCTGGGGTTATGGGACCCGATTTAGATTTGTTTAAGGTGCATGAAAACCCGTCATATCCAGTAAGTATCCAATCAAGATCCCATCACACATCCCATCAATATCCCGTACACATGGTGTGGGTTGGAATTGTCACTCCCTGAAATGGTTGGTGGAACACTGACTTCATGTCCAGCCCTGCTGCGGAGGCGTTCTCCGATCCTTTTTTGATGTGGTGGACTATGTGGGGGCGCGGTCTCTCTATGGCGAGATGAGTGGGGAGTCCCAACCTTTGGGACTTGCCGGGGGTCCCCCAGTTGCCTCCCAGTTGCCTCGGGGCCCCATACAACCTATGGGTTTCCGACCTGGGAGTGAGGTCGTAAATTATATAGATATCCTTCTAGCCTACAAACCATTTATGAATTATATAATGGGACATACAAGTTTACTACCGATTTATGAATGAACGATCTTACAAACCAATTTTCGAACTATTTCCTGGTTCCAGGAATCTTTAAGTGGGGTCTTGTTCAATTAGGTTCAAGGATATGTTGGGCCATTTTTCCATGGCCCATGCAGTAGTAAACCTCAAAGTAGAGGAACGGGGCTTCAAACTAGATCCACGTTGTTTATATACATCTAAGGAGAAATGACGGTCAAAATTCCAATGTTTACAACTAAAATGCATTTGTATACTAAAGATCCATTGGCCAAAAGTTGTGAGAGTCGTTGAACCACGCCTCATTACCGACAGTAAACCTGAGGTCAGGAGGCATTGGAAGAGCAGATGGACAAAGACTTCGGATTTTGTATCGATGAGGATTGGGTGCCATGATGCGTGCCTTTTTGGATATGAGTTTCGATGAATATACTCTGCGAAATGCCGGGAAGGCCGGCTACCTACTTGACACGAAGCGAGTTGCGAATACGTTTTGATACGCTTTTGACCTGGTTGAAGCTTAATGAACGCAACATTGCGGTTTTGAAAGATGAATCGATCCCTCACAGATTCCCACAATGGGATCCCAGATGCAACAGCAAGTAGGACCTCACAATCAACATAGTGAGGCTGTACAGTGATTCCACCCCCCAAAAAACAGAAATTGCATGAAATTGCCATCAAAATTGTGGGGAATGACTTTTCGTTACTTTTCTGTGTCCCCTTTTTTGGAACAGTTCCAACAGTTCAACGCTGTTGGCACCCAGGACATTTGTCCTGTTTGGCTGTCCGAACTGGGTTGCTCCCTTGACACGGAGCTGGAGTGGTTTACCAAAGTTTGCCAATACTTGGCCACTTGGTTTGCTGGGTCACGTTGACCGAAAATTTGAGGGCTGTTTCTGTGATAGTATCCCAAAAACACCTGTATGTACACCCAACAATCAGGCGAATGTGGATGTAATTAGATATAGAATACTACATAGTAGAATTCAGAATTAGTGGATAGGTATGAATGGCGTGGGTTCTGAAAGGTCAAACATGATAAGAGGATTGTTGCAAGCCTAAGTCATCAACGCCCAGCTCCGCCCAGGACAAGAAAGATGTTGACTTCGCCTACTGGCCGTTGAATGTTGGCCCAAAACCAGGTGGATCAGATGACGAGCGGCTCAGATGCACGCATAGCCGCATAGCTGTGATGTCGGTGCTGTTTCTGGAGCTGGAGAACTTTGGTTTTATATGGTTTTTAACCGTAATCATGGGTTTGTGATGGTATTTGCGTGTGGTATTCCACAAAGATTTGATTTCAAACAGCATTGCGGGAATGTGGTAAACATGATGGACACCCAGTTGGGGGATGCTGTATACCATTCATTTCGGGAAAAAAAGGGGGATTCTATAATGGGTGTCTACAGGTGTTTCACTAGTGAATCTATAGTAAATCTACAATTAAATGAGGTATAATAGCATATAATAACTATTATGATATGAATTATAGATGATAGTTGGGATTATGATATTATATAATAGTTATATAATATTATATAATATTATATAATAGTATATAATAGTTATTATACCTCATTTCCGGTAGATTTTATGATATTTCATGTTCCACCAAGTTCGTTGGGATGATCGGGCCCGTTTTGGCCCAGGGCCTATGGCATTTTGACCAATGACTGGCAGCCCCGCTGGGCTGATCCACGATTGCAGGCGGAGCACGTACTTTTTTGCAGCGTTTGGAAATGTGGTACCCTCTGGTAATTTGCTACATAGCTATTGAAAATGGCCATAGAAATAGTGGATTTTCCCATTAAAAATGGTGAGTTGGTTGATTTATCCATCCAACTACCCTCTGGTAAACAAACATAGCTATAGAAAGATCCACCATTTTTAATGGGAAAACACACGATTTCTATGGCCATTTTCAATAGCTATGTTAAATTACCAGAGGGTAAACCCAACAACCAACCTCTTTCCATGGGGGTTTCCTAAAATATGGGTACCTCCAAATCATCCATGGACTCAATGGATTTTCCTTTACAAACCATCCATTTTGGGTACCCCATTTATGGAACCCCCCAAATTTACCTGGCTTATAGATGCTTATTGGTTACATACAATCTACGTTTGGCAAAACGGGGGTGGTTTATTGGTGGGTTTACCGCATAAATGACAATGAATGATGGCTAGGCAGGGTAGCGAGCCCGCAGTGGTTGATTTGATTTTTTTGTCAATTCAGTGAAATTGGTTTTGCCCCAGAATGGGGTCAGCGTAAAATCCAGTACCTCGACATGGTTCCCAATCAAAAGGACAATACTGTATCTTTGTGAACATCCACATTTCTGAACAACACCACTTGATTTCAATTGGTTTCGTATCTATTTTCTCTTGTTTCATTGATCACTCGCCCTGTCAGAAGTCTTAATCAAATCAATGACCTCTATGTTTCTTGCATAAAACAATCACTGATGCATGCTCCACTTGACCATGTTGGTTGAATAACTATTGTTTTTTCGCCTTAAGTGACGACTTTATATATATCTCCGGGATTCTTTGGGGTTGAAGCCACTAACCAGTCGAGTTGAGCGTAGGCCTTGCGTCGCTTATGCCCTCAAGCAGTGTTGCCATCACCAAAGAAGGCTCAAACCAGGCACCAGCTGCCATAGGATGTTGGCCATGGCCATGAATGCCTTGGGAGAGCTTTTTTAGCCTTGGATGGTTATTGATACATCTATAATTATATAAATTATTACACATATATTATTATATTATATATATATTATACATATTAGAAACAATTCCTTGCCAAATGCCATTTGAGACCAAGAATCTGATAGGATGGTGAAGTGGGGCTAACTGGGGTTCCATTGGAGTTCCCTTCCTGGAACTTACCCGGTGGACCAGGGCCAATTGAAATCATGTGGCTGGGATGTGATGAAACCAACAACCAACCATTTTCATCCAATGTTTGCGATGCAGGCGACCTTTGCAATTGCCTGCGCGCGCACGAGCTGACTCAGGCGCCTATTTTTCAGGTGGTAGACCAATGGCCATGAACCCTTGTTATTCTTTTTTCAGAGAAGATTGTCAAAAAAGCACATAAATATAAACACCAAACCATTTCTTGTAAGCCATTGCGGTTGGTATATTATTTTTGGTAAGTGTCTGTCCCGGAAACTGGAGTTTATCGGCCTAAATAACTCGGCTTACATGAGCCCTGTGAGCAAGCAAATCAGTTCGCACGGGATGATGTTAGGCTTCAACGGAGCAAACATTCTCAATCAAGCAGAAGCTCAAACCAGATACATCCAGATACATTACATGAGAATCATGAAGAATCCAGTCTTACCCATCCAACATTACAATGGTCACCATACATTCTCCAACCTGTGGATGGGTTTGGTCCCGTGCCTATGGGATCCTATGGGACCATTGTTGGACTCGATGAGTTGACCCAGTGAGTTGGCTCCCCCAGTTCTGAGTTGGTTTATTTATCCATCCAACTACCCTCTGGTAAACAAACATAGCAATGGAAAATCACAATTTTTAATGGGAAAATCCACTATAACTGGCCATTTTCAATAGCTATGTTAAATTACCAGAGGGTATATTGTATGTACAATGTACGCATCAACAAATCCACCATAGACAATTAAGTAAAGCTAGCTACAAGCTAACTTAAGGTTGTGAAAAAAGTGGACCTATATTTTCTAAAGGTATTGTTTTTTATTTATGAGGCTCAACATTGTACCCAGCTTTCGCCAATCCACCGTTGCTTCTCCAGGCTCTTTGAGCCCTTTCCATCTCAACGTCACACCCAATGTGACACCAGGCCGCCAGGGGCTGGGGGTTTCATATCTGTGTCGAGGATTTAAGGGATACATGGGAACACGATGTAGAATCAAATCTTACCCATAGGATCCATGGTGCTATATATGGTAACATGGATCCCATCAATATACCCCCTTTATGTTAGCATATATACCAGCGCCATGGATCCTATGGGTTAGTAGTAACATGAAGTAACATGTTGGAGATCCTGTTTTTGAGTGGGATCCTGTTTTGTGCAGCTTAACGGGGCAATTTTTCCCATGAGATCTTCAGTCTTCGGAAAGCCTCAGCTTTCCGGGGCGTTGGGGAGAAGTTGATGCTAAAGTGCAACGTTGATGTTTGGTTTGGATAGTCAGGGGGATAAAGGGGTTTCCTAAAGTGGGGGTGCCCCTAAATCATCCATTTCCATTAATTATAAACCATCCGTATTTTGATCCAGCTATCCAGCTGTACCCCCGTTTATGGAACCCCCATCATTGTTGATGTTACCCATAGGATCCATGTATGCTATATATGGTAACATTTACCATCAATATACCCCCAATGTTAGCATATATACCAGCACCATGGATCCTATGGGTTATTTCATCCCGATGTTTGAATCCTCCGTCCGTCCCGTTGCTACCCGTTGCGCTAACCGACTTCCTTGCCAAGCTCTTTGGATTTTTCTAGTCCGGGCACTCGGTACCTCAGTGTGACCTCACTGGAATGATGGGAATTGGATTTGGGTAATTATCCCACAGAAGCCGCGAATTTCAGGTTAGTGAATTATGAGAATTTACCAAGACAAAATTATGGCTGCATCTGGCATCTGATTGCTTGGAAGTAGAATCTTAGGGTCATGAAGGTGCTTTTTACCCGAACGAAACATATTCAGTCATCGTGAAATGGCGTGAGGCGCTTGTCAGACATGATTCCTCGAGAGCTTGAACCTCCGCATAGTAGCTTCCATGGCAGAGCCATTTTGGCAATTCAAACAATTTGGTAGACCGGCTGGTTGAGCCCGCGCACCTTATTTTGCATGTCGAGATATTCCATGATGACGATGCTTGCAACACTGCTTGTGGCATTCACTGCCCATGGGGAGCAGATGCACGAATTGACCACTGGCAACGTCTCCCAGAGCAAGACTTCGCTTCGAAGCACAGCGCGATCTTCGGGCATGGCGGATTATGGCAATTGGTGCGGTGCAGACAACACCAAAGCTGATAGAAACTATCCAACCATAGACGGTGTAGATGAAGTGTGTCGGCGCCATGATCTATGCTTAAAAGATAAAGGCTATCATGAATGTAATTGTGATGCGGACTTTATGAAAAGCATGGCACGAGCGAGTGCCCGCAGTGCGCACGGAGAATCCTACCGTCTAGCAGCTGTCGGGGTATTTGTGCACAAACCATGTGAATGCAGAAGGAGAAGATGTATTCTTAAAAATCCCTTCAGTGGGAATTGCATCCAACATGTATCTTATACCAGTGTAGGTGTAGGTGGAATATGTGTGGGATAAATTGCCCGCAGACACGCCGTCGGGCCCAATTTGCAAAGCGAGGGACCTATTTGTGCTTGGCACTTCGTCCAGGTAGATCTACCATGATCGACCAAGGTAGATTGTAATCACAAAAGAACAACAGGCAACCTTGGTTATACGTGGTTATATTATTTACCTGTTTGTAGCAATGATATATTTATAGTGGTGTTTATAATCTACAAGCAACTCGAAGTTTGCCACACCTTTCTCTTGTACAGATGTTGCTTGAACAGCTTGCGACCTACCCCAGGTTCGATAGGTCTGAAGGCAGTTCTACAGATGTGCCACGGACCATCGCGATAAAAGAAAACTCGCATGCTGATCTACATGCTGGGCAGTCGTCGCGACTTAAGGGTTTGTGTTGAAAGGCTTCTCAAAGCTTGACATTCTTGAGCAATTGCCTGTGAGTCTTCACATAATTACAGTACATTCATGATAATTTGCCAGTTGAACTCCAAGTTTGCCAGTGGGATCAACATAAACGCATCTCAGATGAGTAAGATCATATCCTCAGGATGAAGAGATTTTATGAGATTTTAGGGTTCAAGATTGTGACTTCTTCGCTTCTTTTTGCATGTTTCCAAAACAATAATATGGAACAGGTGAATGGTTGGGTGTGGCACCAGCCAGATTGAAGGACTTGGAAAATGGAAAGACAACTAACCCATGAAGTAGCAACACTGTCAGGAGTTCAATTTACTGACCGTTCGTTTGAATACTGTGATCCACTTTTCATTAAGTATCATGAATTATCATGCACTAATCAATTATCATTGAAGGGTCATTACTGACTGTCTAATTATCATTAATACATATTAATCCTGTGATACAACTGTCACAATTTTCATTGGCAGTCATCAATTCATCAATTGTCATTGGATCACGACTGGACTATGCCATTCTCTCCACTCCGAGGTCATCACTCGAGTCATTGAACTTGTCTTCAAGAAGGTCCCAACAAAACTAAACAAATCCTAAAAACCTGACATTTGGACAGCGGATGACAGCGGGGGTTCCCCGCCCGAAGAGTCTTGAACATCTTGGACTTTCATTGACGTCCCTGGATGTAGGCAAGCCACCAATCTTGACAGTCCATCAGTTAGATTCAGTTAGAATGTGTTGAAGTACGTATGTGAAGTACCTATGAGATCCTATGAGATACCTATGATGCTTTTCCCAATTGTATGTATCCTGCTTGTCAGAAGACTCATATTCTTCAAGATCGGTTTAAAACCTGTGGGGGTCGCTTGCACTGATGAGGGAAAGAACCGCTCATTGAGGCAAACCCCACACTGGTATGAGTCAGCGTACCTCCATCAGTGGCATCCAACAAACGAGCATTGGGTTTGGTTACTGTGTATTTACTTGAGATGGACCCAACGGTTTAAATTTACACAGATCGGAATTGGTTGAATTATGCCGTCTACACTCGCGGAACCAACTTGGAAACAACCCTCCCAAATATTGAAAAGGGCAACCGCCCCCTGTTTAGGGAGTTCAACCCCCATTTCTTTCAGAATATTGCATCCAGTTGAAAGCACACATTCATAGATAATCTTAAATCAATATATGTAGCACCTCAACAAGAGTAAGCACAGCATCCTATACAACTTTCATTTCTCATCCCATGCCCCATCATACTGATTTCGTATCAAATGCGGCATTTGGCACAAACTCTTCACCAAAACAGCGCCAAAATGCTAACAACACCTAAAAACGCTTAAAATCATACCAACATTACCGACTATACATGTGCCAGGGTCGAAACATAGGTTGTTTTCCTATCTTGAAGGTTGGTCATCAATCCATTAATAGGGATTTATATAATTTTATATAGCCATTACAAGTATTCCCATTATGGGATGGATGACCATAAACCTTATACCGTGTTTTGACCCTAGCACACATCTATACATTATATTTTAGATAGCACATTTGCCTTCTGTGTTTATTGATGGCCAGGAAACGCGAATGGACAAGACATCTTTGATATGTCTTAATTGGTTCAAGATGATATTGCCCTCTGGTAATTTAACATAGCTATTGAAAATGGCCAGTTATAGTGGATTTTCCATGATTTTCCCATTAAAAATGGTGATTTTCCATAGTTATGTTAGTTTACCAAAGGGTATATACAACATCATCAGGAGAAACAACCAACAGATTCAGCAGATTTCTGTCACAAGAAACCATCAGACCCAAGAACCCTTTTCGACACGCCAGACTGCCAGCAGACGGTCAGCAGGAAATCCAATCTATCCACAACTCCCCAACACTGAGCTGCTCATACCAAGAGAAATGCCAACTAAAAAAAAGTCAGGAGACATGGCCATATGGTAAAACGTGGACAGATTTTCCTCACATGTCTCTGCTCAACATTTCACTGTTTGTTTGTTGAAATAAAAGACATGAGATGAAACTTCACAACCGTAATGTTGTTGTTTTTTTCAGGTTTCAACATAAACATAAACATAGCTTTGATATGCGTTGATCATGTTTGATACTGAAGAGTTAGTTGGAGAAATGGTCTTTTGTTGATGACAAATTCTCATTTGAAAACAAGTTTTTGATTCAAGAGGTGGAATATTGGAACAGTACCACTTTTTTCAAGAACCGTTGGGTGCCGAGGGGTTTTAGAATATCGAGGCCGTGGACTGAAAACACAGAGATTCTTGACTTTTTGGTGGTTATTTGGAAGAAACCCATGTAGAAACATAGTTTCTTTTCACTTAAGCAGAGTTTATGATTTTCATGATTTTAAGGCACGTTCTTGATATGTTCAAGAACCAGATCGTTTATTAATGTTGAAGTCCAAGCTCAATCCACAACTCCCCAACACTGGACCATAGAGAAACTACTCGTACTTAAAGAAACAGTGACTAGCTACTTAAGGGAATAGTGACTATAGACATTACCCTCCAGTAAATTAACAGTTGGACCCTGGTAGTCATCGGGGTTGGAAGATGAGTTTCCTCTAAACAAATGTGATTTTCAGGGTCTATGTTAATTTACCAGATTGAATATGATATTATATAAATATATGGAGTATAGTGAGTGGAACATTCACAACATATGTTGTTTGATTGATTATTTTGTTTATCATGACAACAAGGCACTGGCATTCAAAAGAGATACCAAGCAACCAGCACAGATGAACAATCAGCTGTCAATATATAAATGTTGTTGGCATTGAGTAAATACAATATCTCAATAGGTTTGAGGTTCATAAGATTTACCGTTGTATTTGTTGGATGTGTTATGGGAACTGTTGGGAGAACCCAAACATTAATAATAAAGCACTACTCAACACCAGGGTAGGTTCAAAATCGAAGAGAAGGCAAAGGATGTGAGCATTCGTGGACATAGTACTGCCAATGTTGATGACACGTATTCCACCCTTGCAACTTCGTATGAATCCACAATGCAAACAATATTATTCAATGTACATTGCATTCCAATTCCATATTTTGATA